CTAACACGTTGGGACAACGCTGGGGCTACAGACTCTTGCCTCACCATCTACCCCAGTGCTCTCAGGTATCATGGTTTTCCATTTGTGTTAAAAAGTGAAAATACTCAGAAACACTTCTCTATTATTGCTCCTGACATAACCACCATTAGTTCAATTGTTCTTTGAAGGTAAGTTCAGCTGTCTTTTCTCTCTGGCCATTAATATTCTGTCTTTGGTGTCTTGTCATTTCTCTGTAATTTTTATTAGCACAGATTTTCTTATCTTGCTTGGGACTTTTTGTAGTTCTTAATATGAGGAATTATGTCATGCTGGAAAGCCCTAAGACAATTTTTTAAAATATTACATCACCATTCATTAGTCCTTCCTTCTGAAACTATTAGATTTCTCACTGTAGTTGTCATCTTCATACCTGCAGATTTCTAAAATCTCTAATTTGTCTGTACTATCTTCTGTATACTTTTCTCAGATCTATTTTTAGCTTATTAACTCTCTTTTCAGTTGTGAATGCCTTGTGTTAACTTGACACTGATTTCTTATTGCCAATAACTATATTTTTCATTACTTTTGACATCTTTTTATTATTCTTGAGATTTTAATTACCTTTAAACTATATTTAATTCATGTTATTATTTTTATCCTATTAAGTTTGGGGGTATCTAAACTTTCTCTTACTTATTATGGGTTGCTTCCATGTGTTTTACTACTTTTGCTTGTAATAGGAAGTTTTAAGGGCAGTTGCTTTTTCTATGAAAATCCCTATAGCTTGGCTTGTGGGGAGGGGGTGATCACATAATCCATTTATTTTCAGCTACCTTTGCCAGGAATCCTGATCTGTTGACTCTAAGAACATGCTTATGTGTCTCCAAAGAGGGCATTTAGGACATATAGGGACAGTATAAATTTGAACTCTAAAACCTCATGAGTTGCAGACCTAAGATTTCAATTTACCAGGCAAGTCTTTTTCCCCCGAGCGCCTAGTCAGAGTGAGAAATGAGATTTTTGTGCTTGCCAATGAATATTCTGATATACAAATGAGCTTTTTCAGAATCCTGGATTTAATGGGAAGACTCAGTTGCTCTCAACCTCTCCATCTCCACCTAGGCATCAGAGCCCATACCCCTGTCAAAACCATCTATATTCTAGGAGGCCACAGCCTCACCCAGAAGTTTGGAGGTTCTCATTTCAGTGTTATTGTTAATACTGTGAATTTCCCTTTCCTTAATATGTTCTTGGATAGAAACATTTCAAATATTTTTTAGTTTTTGTGGCATTTAGAAAATTTGGGGAAGAGGATATTTTGGGTATTTTTATGGTACCAGAAATCCTTTTAAGTTAATTTTTATATTGTAAAGACTTTTATGTGTAGACAACTGTGCAATTAATTTTAAATATACTCCAAAGAGATCTCAAGATGCATATTATTTGCATAATATATACACAAATTATTTATTGAATTCAGTCAATCATATTAGTTAAAACTCTACATAATATTTATCATCTCTCCCTAAAAATTGATGTTTATCAATTCTCTTTACTATATAATGGTTTTGCTTTATATATTTCAGGATTATTTTACCTGGCACCTAGATATTCCCGTCAATCATATTAACACAGTAAATTGTACCAATGTTAAGAGTTTTACAAAACACCCTCTTTTCCCATAGTTTTATTTGTCTGATATTTATTTATTCTTTGCTTGGCATCTTGTCTCTCCACATGCCACACTGATTTATCTTGCTCATCTTTGTATTTTCAATTATTCTGTGCCATTTTGTTTTAGGTATATACATTGTAACCTACATTTGTCCAGATTTTGCTTTTTCAGGTACTAAAAGAAAGATTACTTCTATTTTTTGTCCTTTATTTTTGTCATTTGCAAAGATGAGCAAGTTTCATCTTTTTTTTTTCAAGATGTGCAAAATTAAACTTTCCTTTTTTCCCCTTGCTTATTTTTCTCATAAAATAGGCTGAATTAGTAGAGAATGTCATTTCTTTTCACTTGATTGGAACCTAGTACTTTGATTGATGATTGATATTTTCAGCCTTCTCAAAAGAAAAGCACTTTGACTCATGGTTGGCTCGATCCAATCCCACTCTTCATTCACTTGTCTTTTGTGTAGCTGACAGCATGAAAGCAATGATCTCAAAATGCAAATATGGTCATGCCATTCACCCATAAAATAGGTCAATGACTCCTAGTTTCATAAAGAATATACTACCAACTTTTTGGCATGATAATCAAGGTTTTTCATTCTCTTTTGAAACTTTTCTCCCACTGACCCTTCTTCCATACTTATGTCTGTTCCAACATTCCAACCGTAACACATTTTGTTTTCTTAATGGATGTTTTGTATTGGCTACCTCTTCTGAAAGGCCACTTTTTTTTTTTTAAAGCATTGATGGAGTATAGTTAAATATGTGGGACTGTGCAAAACGGAGGGACTGAGGGTACTACTGAGGGTACTGGAATGGTGAGAACATTTGACCTGGGATTTCCTTTATAGAGCTCATGTCTGGTGAACTAAACAGTGACACAATCAAACAATTAAGGCAGGGAGAAGCCAGATATGAGGGCATAGAGGAGGAGTCCCATTTTCACTTTATGGTCTTGGGAATGCTTGCAGGGAGAAGTAATAACCAAGCTGAGACCCAAAGGATCAATAGGGAGTGCTGCCTCTGTCACCTGTAGTGCCCTGCTCATCCTTGTGATATTTCTAAATGGCAAGTCTGACAACAGCATGCCCCTGACTGCACTCTCTTTCCTTCAAGTAAAAATCCCTTGCCAGCTAGATTTCTATGAATTTGCCTTACTTTCTCAGCAGCGTTCTATACCTTTGTTGTCTCATGTGCATTGTACATATCAGTCACACTGAAGGACTCACCGTTTGTAGAATAGTCGCAAGTTTTCAGATCTCCATGCTCTGTTTGCAGTCTTTGCTTTACTGGAATGTTTACCTTTTAAGTGAACACATTAAAAGGTTTCCTCTCTTCCAAGACCAAATTAGAGGTTTGACTGTCCCTTGTTTTCCCTTATCTAACCTTCAAAATTGTGTATAATTTCTTTTCTATTACTCAACCTTGTACAAGTTTATATAGAACCATTTACCACACTGCGCTTCACTTATATGGGTTATTATGGTTATTAAATTAGGTTCTAATTTCCCTGGGTTGACACATTTGCTCCTGTTTTTACAAATTTTAAGTTTACAACTTTTGTCATATTCCTAGTATCTAACTTTAAGCACATTCTTGATTTTTATATAGATATTTTATTTCCTTAAAGATTCAGTGAATTATAAAATATTTCTGAATGAAAATGAAATGAATGAAAGACATGCATGTTGATGATACAACTCTAGGTGCATTTTAAGACACGGTAGGTAGGATATGCTTTAGTTGATAATGGAAAGGTGGCTTAGAATGGATTTGTAATTATTGGTTGTAGGAAAAGGCATCATGCATTTTTGCATAGAAAAAATACATGATGACTTTTCCAACAACTCAATACATTCAACAAATATTCAGCCTTGCAACTATTCTTTCTCAATGACGACTCAATTTCCCAACCCTTAAAAACTGTTGAGTTTGAGAAAGACAATTAATTACCCTTCTGCCTATATGCTCTGAATAAGAACAAGGTAGGAATTAAACTCTCTGTGGATTCAAACTCTATTATCAGATTTATTTCAGGTAAAAAGTGAATGGCAGAGTGAGATTTAATGACAAAATCAGGCTTCCTACTTCATGGCTTTATTGATTTGGTAGCCTCAGGAACCTATAGTAACAGGGACCCAGCTGGAAGTGCAAGACTTATTTTCTAGAAAAAAACATGTTGGACAGCTGAGACAAAGACGCTGAAGTGGCTACAAAGACAGCAACCCTATACCTATGCCACAAAATGAAGGAATGCATCTTACCATTCACTTTTAGAGAAAAAGGCTTAAGTAGAGTTAGGAGAATTATGTCTTAAATAGCCCTGAAAGGAATTTTTTCTATTTAATGTACCAAAGCATCAGGAGAGGGGCTGATTCTCCCTAGCAAGGGCCCTGAGGCGGATCTCTTAAGCCATAGAGTTGGTAACTCTTAAATCAAAAATGGTATCACTGTCTTATACCTAACATTTCTTATTTTATCATAATGATAGGTAAATCAATAAATGCTCCTGACATGAAGGACACACATGTTAATATAACTGAAGCTCAATGACACTCCCTTGTGAGTACTCTGATGGGAAGCATAACGCCAGTGAATTACTATGGAGTATAAAAGATTTTTTGTCTGCAATTTATGGGAGACTCTGAGCCATGCCATTTCAACCTGGGTCAACCTATAATTGCATATCTTGATGACAGTAAAAAGCAGTGACCCGATGCATCTAACACCTCTGCTGGGAGTCCATAGTCACTGGCACCGCACTATGCTTAACCCCGAAGGTTTGGATTTTCTGACATCCCTTCTAGCGCTCAGAGTTTATGATCCAGATAGGCCTTCAGAGGAACTGACCTCAGAAAAATCCTTTGCTGAGCTCTGACCCATAGTTTATTAATTTGTAGTTAGATTTATTTAGTTTTGACTTACTTTATCTAGTCTTCAGGTCTGCATTGTTTACTGTTGCTAAATGTGCTCCTTCCAAGTGTGATGTATTTAATTTGGTCAAATCTATAAATTACATAGTGGTAAGGAAGGGAAAATAAAGGACAAAGTCAGTGGTTGGTTGGTCACAACATTAAGTGAATGGATTATATTTTTACATGGTCTGATTTTCTTGTTAATTTGAGATGATTTCTTTAGAAGGAATATTTGTTATTGTGGTTTGGAGACACTAGTTACTTAGCAATGGCCAAGAGTCTTGGGTCAGTGTTTTTCCAACTATTATGTACACAGAAATCACTGATACTTCAGGTCTGGGATAGGAGATAAAATGCTGCATTTTGAGCAAGCTCCCAAGTGATGCTAGTAGTGAGCATCAAGAACCCAAGTTTTTAAATCAAAACACCAACTCATCACAATTAATTTTATTCCACAGCATGTTTAAGGGAATGTTATTCTCAGGAAGATGTTTAGGATTAAAATAATTAAAAAAAAACCCATGGAAAGTACACTATTTATGTATCTCTTCATTAAATATATATCTGTTTGCCAAAAAAATGTTAGACTCTTTTATACAAAAACAAAGCCAAAACAAACAAACAAACAAACCAAAAACCAATCCCAAACCCTTGCAAATTGTCAATACCTGTAATAATTATAATGATGTAAACTTGGATGTCTGACAGCCTGACCATCCTGGGCAACATCTGCTATAGCAGAACATCCAGGAAAAGGTAACACCAAGCCCTCATGGAGCAACTGCCGGAGGTGTTTAGGTTTAGTACATTAGAGATGGAGCATGACTGATTTAACCCTTTGTGCTTTCAGCTAAGGAGCTAGGAAGGAGGATGGGAATAAAGAAGGCAGGTCAGGGCTGAGACAGGGAGAAGAAACCCAAGTCTGGCAGTTGAGAAAAGAACATCATGGTCACAGAGCAGGTGCAAAGTGGGCCTGGGCCTGTGGACTGTGTCCGGGAGACCCAATGCAGGAGAGAAATGGGATGAGACTGCTGTTGCTCTGGACTACAGAGGAACCTGGCAAGGCAATGGCAGGGATGGAGGTGAGAGGAATTTGAAAGCAGATTTCAATTCACAAGGAAAAGGTGGTGTGAGCTGACTCTAGAGAGGAGGGGAGTAAGGAGGTGGCATTTGGTCTTCTCAAGTAGCTGGGCTGTTCTGTCCATATACAGACCTTAGGATACTCCTCTGAGTTTGGTGTGCAGGTTTTTGGGGACAGTCTGGTGCTGCTGGCTTTCCTATTCTAGGAAGAAGGGATTTGTATAGAAGGGCCTTTGGCTCTCTATGTGTTGGTGGGTTTTGCTCTTGTCTCACCAGCAGACTGCTGTAATGGGAAGTGACCTAAAACAATGGCATCTAGAAACAGAATCAGGATGGTGAGCAAGATACCAGGCAGGGGCAGAAAAATGCCAGGGTTGAAGGTGAGGCCAAAGAAAGTATTGGCCCACATGCTTCCTCTACCACAGAAGATTCCAAGCATGAAGTGTTTGCCTTCTTCTTTCCTGTTAGATTGATTTTCCAATTTGGGAGGGGAGATGCTTGTGAGCCCAGCTACTTCAATTACAGTCATAGACAAAGTCATAGTTGCTAGGTTCCTTGGGGATTGGAGGAGGAGCATCCGGGATCTGAATATTTTCCAGGTCCAGGAGGCGGAGTTTGATTTCCATGCTGAGCAGGGTATCCAAGTCATTCCTAGTCAGGTCGCTCATCATGTCTTTTCCCAGCAGTGCATTCAGCCCATCCGTCCAGATACAGTACTGGTGGGAAAAAGAGTGACAATGGTAACATTTGATGCCAGTGATAAAAGTAGTAACAATAGCTAACAATTCCTGATCACTCCACATTTTCAGCTCTGTGATAAGTGATTTGCCTACATCATTTAACATTCACACCATCTGGATAAAGTGTGTACTTCTGTGATTGTCTTTGTTTTATAGAGAGAAATGAGCTACAGAGTTCAGTGACTTGATAGTAAATGAAATAACTTGGTAGTATATGAAGTAACCTATGCAATCCACTCCAAGGTCTATGTTCTTCTAAGCAAAGATTCCTATTTATGTGACAGCAGCAGGACTTGTGCATAACTATGCAACATATTGCTAAGATCCCACCAGAGAGTCTAATTATTAAGGCGTGGTAGTATAGCTATGAGCCCTTCTAGATTCAACATCAGATCAAGCTTCCTTCCTGACTCCAAGTATTATTCCTAGTCTAGCAGCAAATTTCTTCCTGTCCTACCTTTTCCTAGAACTCATAATGAGACAACCCATTCCACCCTGGAGCCAATGGGTAGTCCCACCATTTTAATTTCTCATAAAAGAACAAATAGCCTGCTGCTGCTCAGTGTCTAATGAACAACAATAGTTAAAATTATTGGGTGATCTTAATGGGGGTGAGGATTGATTGCCTATCTGGGGAACATTTTTTTGCCTGGGTCTCCATATTTCCTCTCTTCCAGGTCTCTTGTGTTTAGTTCTGGGAACATCACCCATTTTTTTTTTTTATTATTTTTTATTTTATAACAGTTTATTTTTACATCATTTTGCACATTTTTTTCCCATCTCAATTGTAATCCCCGTGGGTTTCCCATCACCATGTCACCCGTGTGCCATCACCATAATCCCGTGTACTTCCCTCCCCACCCCTCCGTTTTTGATCCCATTCCCCACTCCACCCCTGCAAAATGTCTCTGGTATATGGTTGTTCATTATTTTTGTTATTTTCTTGCCTGGTCCATTATACTCCTGCTATGAGTGAAACCATCTGGTATTTTTCTTTCTCTTTCTGGCTTATCTCACTAAGCATGATCTTTTCCAGCTCCATCCAAGTTGCTGCAAGACATGTGTTTCTCTTTTTTGGTTGCTGAGTAATATTCCATTGTACCACATCTTTTTTATCCAGTCATCTACTTTTGGGCATTTGGGCTGCTTCCATGTTTTTCCAATTGTAAATAAACATGGGGGTGCAGGTATCTTTTTCAATCAGTGTTTTTGTGTCTTTTGGGTAGATACCTAGGAGTGGGATTGCTGGGTCGTAGGGAAGCTCCATGTTTATCAGTTTGAGGAACCTCCAGACAGTTTTCCATAGTGGTTGTACTAGTTTGCATTCCCACCAGCAGTGCAGGAGAGTTCCTTTTTCTCCACATCCTCGCCAACATTTGTTGTTGCTAGTTGTTTGAAGATGTGCCATTCTCACTCGGGTGAGGTGGTATCTCATTGTGGTTTTAATTTGCATCTCCCTTATTACGAGTGAAAACATCACCCATTTTTTAAGGGTCTCCAGAGTACCTAAGACTGATTCTTCCACGTTCATAAGTTAATCATGCTCTTTGACTCTCCAGCAGACATGAAATCTTTGAGGAAAGGAACTATGTCTTATTTATATGGAATCTTGCCTTGCTCTCATAAATTCTCTCCTAAAGACAGCCAACCAGTGGTATTAGGATCCAATAACTGGCAAAAGAATGATACTGCTGCCAACATCTCGGAAAACTGTGTTCTGCGTTTGTGCTCTAATTACCTGCTAGTTCGTCCTAAAACTATGCAGGATTTTAATGATAGCAACTGCTCTGCTCTTTCTGTTTGATGAGGCTTTGTTCTAAAATGTGTTCTAGACACCCCTCCCTGACTCTTGTTCTCATTGGGTCAAGCTGTAATTCTAGACCCTACCTAGCCTATTCTTTGCCCTGAGGTTATAAGTGTTGTATTTCAGAACAAGAAGGTGGAACTTAACATAAAATTACTACAGAACTATAAGCACCAGACAAATCTTAAGTGATAGTGATGTGATTCTACCATCATGCAGCACCACATTTTAGCTGAGGAGGTGTACTATGGGGCTTATTATTATAAGGCCTATTATCTGAATGTTTTAGTACTGAACTGTAAAAATGCATTTGCTAGTGACTTGGGCCAAAGCATTTATCCCATTTAAACATCATTGAGTGCTAAGGAATTTCTGGAAGTATTAAATCCTTTTGAATATCTTATGAAGATTCTGAACATATCTAAACATTCACTTTCTTCATAAACAACCTTAATAAAAAAAAGATGCCTAGGTCCCATTCCGAGATCCTGTACTTGTAGATCTTAGGTAATGGCAGCTTATTTGGAAAAGTTTCAAATAATTTTAATAATTCTAAGGACTTCCACATCTTGGTACCACTGAATTCTGCTCTCTAAGGCTCCTTTCAGCTTTGATTCTGTTTCATGGTAAATCTTTAAGTACTGGAGACTGCTGTTCTTTGTATACAGAACTTCCTAGTACAAATTAGTTTAATTCTCAGACACATTTCTGTGGTGTATTTTATTTATTAAAGACACAGAAGGCATGGGAAAATTGTTAAAATGTGTATTGACAAATGCATTATTGAATCTGAATTGCAAGTATCCGTATGAACTTAAGTTGTATATTTGCATTAAAAAAATCATAAAGAATCTAATGACAAACCAAGTAGTAATAGAAGCCCGATATACAGATTCTGCTTTTTAAATTCAATTTTCTACTAAAAGGAACCAAGGCTCAATGGAAAAAAAGGCAGGAGATGTACAAGATGAGCCTAGAATGCTCTGTCATGCCAGAATGCCTGAGAGGTACTGCAACCTCCAGAGTCAGGTGGCTCAGTCATATGTCTCAGACACTGAGCACAAGGTGTTCCTGCTTTCTCTAGATAGGATGACAATCTAGAGAGTATCATACTTAAATAACTTATGTTTAAAATCATGTTTTCATAATGATATTAAGTACCAAAAATCATCTGATTGGGTTTTCTCTGGATGATGGTCATACTTTTGAAAACTGGTGGAGAAACTTAAGCATCGATCTAGCCAATTAAACATAAATTGTCTATCCTCAATGTAACAATAGTTGATAAGGGCATTTTCTTTTTATTCAACTAACTTATGAAGAAATGAGATAATTAGGATACAACCTTATGCAACCTCTAATGGATCCAAGGATGTAGGTGATGATCAATGGTTGCTAATATCCTCAAAAGAGAGAAAACCAGACACCACGAAGAACACAATACCAGTGCTACATAAAGTTAACACTATATTTGAGTAGCACCCTACTACCACTTAGTAGAAAAGAGAATGTTGTGTTGACAACACCGCACTCACAAACAGGAGTCATGGAGCAAGTTGTAGGATGCAGGATGCTGCCAACAAGCAAGATCCTGGCCCTTTTATTGACAGAACAATCATACAGCATCAGTTATGAGGGGAAGGAGGACAAAAAGAAAATGGAGGGGTGAAGCTAGAAAATGTACTATCATCTATAGTATCAGGGGTTGTGAATCTGCCCTCCAGGAACTTTCATCTGCTTGATGACTTGGTATTGTCATTGACATCAAGACCAGAGTTTCAATCTTATCAACAAGGCTTTCCACTGAAAGTTTCCACTGATCAGCTTCTGGGGTCTCTTGTCATCAGCCCCCCAGGCGTTCCTGGTCATACCTCTGGTCACAGCCTTCCCAGAGTGGTCAAGCTTTAAGCTCCTGGTTGATTTGAAAGGCACTTGAAAGGTTTGGCTCCCATGACTGTTTGACTGGGCAGTTCTGACCTTGTACAGGAATGCAGAACTAACTGCAGGTAACAAAAAATGGTGGCCTAACAGGCAGCTTAAGAATAGCAGACCCACATGTCTTCCTTTTTTATTTTATTAAAGACAGGAATGACAGAAGGAAGGGGAATATTATTAACATACCTCTAAGAAGAAATGGGAGTGCTACATGAAGATGGATACATAGTACAGAGTCAGATAAGCATGTGAAATTATAGTGCAGAAGTGGCAAGAATCATCTTTCAGAGATGATCACATCCTAATCTCTGGGACCTCTGTGTATATTAGGGTCCATAGCAAAAGGAATTGTTAATCAGCTGACCTTAAAATAAGGAAGTTATCCTAGTTTATCCAGTTGAGTTCAGTGTAATCATAAGCATCCTTAAATGCAGAAGAGGGAAACAATAGGAGTGAGAGAAGTGAGAGGCACAGGGAGATTTGACTATGGAATAGGAGGTTGGAATGATACAGTGTGGGGATGTAACCTCCATTTTTGTAGATGGATGGATGCCAGAGCCAAGGCTTATGGGGCACCCCTAGATGTAGAAAAAGTGGGGAAAGGGAGCCTAGAGGTGCTAGAAAGGAATGTAGCCCCACTGACATCATGAATTTAGTCCTGACAGACATGCATTGGACATATGACCTCCAGAACTGAAATGTAATGTTTATTTTTAAGTCACTAAGTTTGTGGTAATTTGTTATAGCAGTTATACAAACCAATGAACAGAGTTATAATCAGCAAAATCTAGGCTAGCAGGTAATGACTTGGTTTCTTCAATGACTTAATTACAAAAGAAAAATAAACAGGTGAACATGCTTAGGAGAAAGGAAGAGAAAAAGAGAGAGGGAGCTATAGATTCAAGGAAATCTGAATACACTTGATTCGAGAAATATATTAACCAATTGCAATGTATGGATCTTATTTGGATTCTGATATCAACAAATCATATAGAAAAACTATACAATTGAGACAATTAGAGAAATTTGAAAAATGATCACATGGTGCTATTAAAATATTTTTAAATTGTTTAGTTGTAATAATATTATAGTTAAGTTTCAAAACTGACTCACCAGGGAATATTTACAAAGATTACAAAGATGTGATGTCTGGACAGAGGTGGTGGCTGGAAATAGGCAGAAGGGTAGTGTGAGGGTGTCCATGAAATCAGGTTGGCCATGAGATAACTGCTGCCACTGGGTGACAAGCACTGGCAGGGAGTTGTGGGTTCAAGTCCCACTTTCTGTACTCTGAGCCACATACTACAGGGGCCAAAGAGAAGGGGTTTCTGTGCTAGCTCTATCACTTCAAGACCTGTGCGACCTTGAACAAGTTTCTTACTCTTTCTAAGCTCACTTTCTTTATGAGATTAGGACCTTAGTTTGTTTCCTTTAGGGGATATGAGGGCTTAAGTGAGGTGAATTACACAGAATAGTCATAGCACACACTAATCCAGCCTTGTTTTAATTACTATTATCTTGATTATTAGGTATTCAATTTTGGGAGGCCTCACTGTTTTTGATAAATAAGGTTATTTGTAATAGAACTTTCTATTTTATGATGTGATTATGCAAATAAAATGAGGTAGTAGTTATAAAAAAATTAAAACTGTTCACAGCTAATAGCATTTTTCTCCTCGCTGTGTCAGTAAGAAGTGGCAGATATGCTTAAAAATTTGGCAATCCCAGAGCATTTATCTTTATCTGGAATTAATGTACATTGAGAAAAACAGCCTTGCAGAGACTTAAATAACATCCACAGCTCTATTTTAAGTAGTTTTGTATACAGCTGCAATATAAGGTGGCCTGTGCATAAGCACAGCCTTACTTAAAAAGAGAAATGGAAGGACATAGTGTCTATTTCCAGGAAGATGGAGACAAAGTCATACCCTTCTGAAAACTAAATGTCAAGTAGCACAGAATTATATTTAAGTACCATTCTAAATGCAGGATTTAGGTCTAATCCTTCCCCTCTCTTTAGGATGTACAATTTTACTCAAAAGCTTCAAACCGGTGAGAACTAGATACTGAAGAACTTTTAAATGAGTTTAAGTCTCCTTGGGGTAATGGGGAACAAAAGTCAGATTCTATTAAAAGTTCCCTTCCTTACTAAAAGCTGTTTATACAGTCACACACAAAACAAAAATTTGAATGGTATCATCTAAAAATAAAAGTTTCAAATATAATTTTCAGTTCCAGTTTAGGAGAGAAAAAGTTAAATCAACTATAACTGCTACTGAATCTTACAAATGCATTTTCCTAGATTTATGCTAAATATTTTAAATATAGCTGACAGTGTGCTACAAGAAGAGAAAGAAATTATACATATAACAAGATGTCAAAAAGGAATAAAATCGTCTTGAAAATAAAATTCTAATAGCAGAGACAGGCCTGTACCTCTTAAAATAACTTAAAGATACATGGTATAAAAATCTATTTCATCAAATGATTTAAAGGCTAAAGATGATTTTGTCTTGTGAAATACTGAAAAAATTAAATATTCAATGAAAACCAGAACCATAACCATGGCTGCTTCTTCCTCTGGGTTAACAATTATTATCCTGACTGAGGTGGAGACACTTGTTCATTCTTATTCTGTGTCATAAACTACTGATCAGACTAGTAAGAAGTTGACTGGTTCTAAGTAGAGTTTTTCATTCTACTCCAAGTCAACAAGATGTTTCTTTATTCATTAATTTTTCTGTCAGACTTTTTAAAAAATGAAATTTCTCTCTTTGCAGCACTTTACTTGTTTTTCTAGAGAAGATGAGATGAGAGTTAACCCCACGGAGACCCTTACCTCATGCTTGTCAGGAGCAATGAAGTTCAGTTGGCAGTTTGAGTCATATAAGATGGAAAAAGCAAGTTCAAGCACCTCCTAAAAGTGATAAGAGAAAACATGTCATAAAGGAAAACTGGCTGTAGATTGAAAAGGAAGTGGGGCTTGTCTTGTGTCCAGACAGGAGAAGCAGCCCTGAGGTTGATGGGAGGAACAGTCACACTTTGCAAGGTTTCAGAACACATTTCTTTCTCAGAACAGCCCACATAGCATCTGTCATCATTCCCTTTCATGGGAGGGGCTTGGAGAAGTTAAATGAGTTGTCCAAGGCCACATCACCCCACGGCTCTGCTTTTATTCTTTTTTCACCATCTCCCTTCCGGAGAGACTAAGATAAACAAAGTCTTCCCAATTCAGCAGCATTAATGACTGCTTATCTTCAATCAACCCTAAACAGACAATGTTCATAGATACACAAACATCCTAACATGTGGAAACTATACAGGAGATAATGAGATTCCTGGTAAAACCATTAGCAGTAGGTAACATGCCTGTTCTTTGACCTATAAAAAATTGCAATGTAAAGGCTCCACAAAACAAGATTTTATCCTTTGGAGGCTGCAGGATATAAATGGGAAACATGGAGCCTCGACAGGGATAGCATCTAATATATTTCTTTGTGTAGGAGGGCCATTTTAACAATGTATGCTTTTCCAACACACAAGTAGGGAATACCCTTCTGTTACCTACTGTCTTCTATTTAACAATGTCCTACAGTTTTCAAATACATTCTTTGGCTTTGCTAAATTTATTCCTAGGTATTTAATTCTTTTTGTTGCAATTATGAATGGTATTGTTTTCTGCATTTCTTTCTGTTTTAGATCCATTGTTTACACATAGGAGAGGTCTGCTGCTTTATTGTTTGCACATAGTCATGCAGCTGATTTTTGCAGATTGATTTTGTTCCCTACCATTTACTGAATTGATTTGTTATTTCAATTAATTTTTAAGTGAAGTCTTTAGGATTTTCCATGTATATATCATATCATCAAATAATGAAAGTTTTATTTCATTCCCAATTTTTGTTCTTTTATATCTTTCTTTTGCTTAATTTTGCTTTAGGACTTCTAATACTATGTTGACTAATAGTGGTGAAAGTGGGCCTACTACTAGTAGATGATTTTAGAGAAAAAGTTTTTGTTTTTTCACCATTAAGTATGATGCTGGCTATGGATTTTTGTAAATCATCCTTCTTATGTTAAAGAATGTTCATTTACCACCAGTTTTTTTTTGAGGTTTTTTTTTTTTATCATAAATGGATATTAAATCTTATCAAATGCATTCTCTGCATCTGTTTACATAATCATGTACATACTCCTAAATTCACTGCAGCCCTATTTTCACTGCAACCCTATTTAAAATAGGTAAGTTATAAAAACAGTCTAAGTGCCCAAAGACAGAAGAATGGGTCAGAAAAAATGTAGTGCACACACACACATTCATATATGCATATATAATGGAATACTATTCAGTAATTTAAAAACAATGAATACCTGGCATCTGAACAACATGATGGAATTGAAAAGGATAATGATATGTGAAATATGCCAGAAGAAAAAAATACATGGTCTCACTTATATGTGGAATATAGAGAAACATATCTAAAGGTCAGTGAAAATGAAACCAAGAATAAACTCTTAACATATGTCTATAAAACTGAGGCAACCAGAGGAGGAGGATTTGGAGTGTTGGGGAGAGGAGGGGGCATAGGACCGAATGGAACATGGTAGAGGATGTTTAGGGTATTGGTGGAGGGCAGGGTGAGAAAGTATACATTTGTAGAGGTTTGAACCTAGAGCAGATACAAAGATTTAAACCTACTTTACTTCAATAAAGTTAAATTGGGAAAAAAAGAGAGAAACATGGATCCAAGTGTCAGAATACCTGGGTTTATTCATTAGTGAGCATCTGTTGAGTGTAGTCTGTGAGCCAGATTGAAAGGACCAAGGACTAAGTGACCTGTCATTTCACTGAATTTGAATGACCTTGGTTGAGATATTTACTGCTATGTCACATATGTACATTAAAATTCATTTCTCAAATTGCTTGTGTTGTGCAATATTGGGTTTATTGGGTACAATCATTATTCTAACTCATCTGAGCAGTCAGAAGAATACAGCCTTTGCAAGATGAGAGATGTCTACATATCTCAACACCCTTATTGCTATTAATCTGGGGTGGGGTGGAGAGTAACTATATGAATATCAGTGCTCTGTATCATTATGACATACAGGTACGAGCTGTTCTTCCTTGTCTGTGCGTTTATTAGGCACCACTGATAACAGCCCTTTTCACCCAGTTATACTCTCAGTAATTGTCTATGAGGTGTTATTCTTGTGGGTTCAGATCTCCTCACAACACTATGTGTCTTAATATCTGTTAGAGGATTTGTCTTTGGTAAGTAACTCATAAAATGTCCCAGAATGAAAACAGAAGACAGGATTTCAGATGGATTAGAGAATTCTTTCAAAATGGATTCAGAAGGCTTAGCACTAGTTGAGAGACTCCACTGACACAGTCACACATTGGGCTACTTGTGGTTCTCCCTTTGTATCTGGCTCACCTCCATCTTATTAAGATGGAGCCCAGAACTACCAATATCTCATATTTTCATACTTCTGCCAGAAACATAAAGTGAAGGAAAGAATGCTAATCCAGGAAATCAGAGCTATTCTAAAATACCCTCTCTTCATTTTCCACTCCTTTTATTTCTTTAACCTCTACTCAAACTTAACCAGTGGATCTCCATAACACTAAAAAGGAGTTCACCAAAACAAACAAAAACAATGTTTCCATGAAGCCTGGCATCTCTCCTGGATGATTTAGTTATCATTCAAATGGTTATGTTCTTACTGGTAGTCCCATAATTTGGGGTCATTTAAAAAAATTAGTAAGTGGGAGGTGTGATTCTATTTCTCTAAAGCAATATACAGTACTATGAACCAATGTTACCTCAATCAAAAATAAAACTATAAGGCCATCTATATTGAGAACCAAGGATCTTGCTAACATATTTATTATTTTTTTAATTCACATAAGTTAAAAAAAATCATTATTCTCTATAAAACACAACGTGAGGAACTAAATGTCCTCTCTTCTTTTGAGTAAACGACTAAAGCAATCACAAATTAGCAGCCAGAAGAATATATTCAGTCAGTCATTCAATCTAACACTGAAGATCTGATTTAAAATGAACAAATACAAGAGAAATGAATATTATTTACATTATTTTAACAATGTCTATTATGGATAGAGATTGGACACAAATATGTGAAATGAAAATTACTATGTATGGTGCTAGGACCATAGGTGATTCCTTCTTTTACGATTTAAAATATCTTCTTTCTATTAAGTGTTGAACTCTAAATCTCATAAAGTCATAAAAATTACTTTTAAATTAGAAACAGTGATATACAGATGATTTCTTTACTTATCTTGGTGTCATTTATTAGGAAAACTCACTGACTCATACAAGAGATTAGACAGAAAGGAGAGGAGGGGCTTTGCACTTGAACAGTCAGTACATTACGTCAGCACTAAATGACCTTAAGAAAGAGGGCAACTCAGAAGCGGTTGGGCTGACTTTGGAGGACAGCTGTCCCTTTGTCTCGGGCAATCACACTCCTGTTAAAGACAGGGAGCTGGTGTGAATACCCTGGAGCCTGACACCACCTCTCGGTGAGGTACTAAAGTAATTTGAGAACAGTTTCGGTGTGGTTGTCCTGTGACATTCTTTTGCAGGGGCATGGAGAAGGAAGGGGAAGGGTGGCGGGCAGCTGAAAACTTTGGGTTTTGTCCTTCTAAGGCATATACCAATGAAGATGTGAGTGAGCGAAACTGTCATGACCTAGATTCCTGATAAACACAGGCAGGAAATGGGAAATTTGTGAGAATGTCAATCCCCACTTTAATTTCACCAAAGTTGCCTGGGAGAGGTGGGAGGAATTAATTCTCTGAACTGCATGCTTGTGTTAAAGGCTGCTATCACTTATAATCAGTTTTATTGACGTCTCTGGCTTGCTGTCATGGAGTCATTGGTGGAGGTCAGCTCTTCAGCAGGGAGGCTGCAGAGCCGGGATTGATGGCACCTCTCGGACTAACACTCCAGAAGCTGCCACCTGTCCAAACTGTGTGTGTTAGAGAAAGATGCCAGGAGGTGGTAGAGTAAGCAATCATAGATCTAGGGCAGTGTCTCCCTTAGGGCTCCTTGTCACACACTACAACACTCACTTAGACATCTGATGCTCTGAGGCTTTGCTGATCACTACCTAAGGTCTTTTATTCCCTCTGGATTTAATTCAGTTAAAAATTATGTTCAGAAGGGGCTTATCTTTATTCACTATGCCATTAATTCACATCTTCCACTTCACTATGTGGAAGAGGCTTGGGGTGATAAGTTCTGGCAAGAGAGTGAAGACAGGAAGAATTAGAGCTCCCTCCATGCCTGGGGACCTGAGAATTCTCTGCCCTGGGACCACCGATGAGGAGATGCATAGAGACATTCTGGGCAGAAATGTGGATCAAATAACAGGCTGACTGAATACAAGAGTAGAGTTTTTGGGCCATATTTCAGTATACATCTTTGGCTGCCATTTATATTGTTCTGGAGTGCTGTGCCTTGATTGGACGTTCTGCCTAGCATTCACTTATACTATGTTGCTTCCCTATTATCTATCTAGGCCATTGTGAGAGCAAAGGCTCAAGGCATAAAGCACTGTGTGTGTTTGTGTGTGGGGGGGTATGTGTGTGGTGTTAAATATGGCCACAGGAATAGAAGATTTCAGAGCTAGTACATAGTAATAGAGAATATTGTTTTCTTTAGGCATAGCTACAGTTTTCTGGCCCCATATCGTAGTAGCACTATTAGTCAATAATTCTCTGACCCATTTTATTTTCTCTGTTCCCACCAATGCTATGTTCTGAATTCAGTGTTTCTCAGAGGATGGTCATGCATTTGTTGAAAGGGCATAATGTACTCTTTCTTAATCCTAAAAATGTCTTTCCTCACCACTCTATCTGACCAATGTCTTTTCAAAACACAGCTTAGACACCTTTTCCTTCATTAGTCTTTCTCAAGTCTCCCAGGCTTCCCCTGTGTTTAAACTTACTGGAACACAGACAACACTGGATTATAATTGCACAGACACAGGTATCAGACACTCAGGTATGGAGTCTGGTCATATTTATCTCTGGACTTCCAGCACCTGGCACAGACTTGGTATATAGAAGATGCTGAATACATTCATTGAATGAATGATGAATGAAGTAAATCTTAATAAAAGGCTTTTGGTTAAAGCCAGGTTTTTCAAGTTGATGCTAGAGCATCACTTTCTAGTATAATCTGCTTCTTATTTCAGATTTATGAATCACACTGGAAAAAATGAAAATGGGTTCTGCCACATGATGAGAAAGAAGCTTCTCTCACAACAAATATATTCCTGTTTGAATCACTGAGTTCTGGTCAGCTTTTGCTTCTAGTGATTTAATTTAACTATAAACCCATATTCCATGGGATAAGCACCAGGAATACCCACTTTCAAAAACACTGCAACAAAAAACCCTTGATTTTATAAATGAAAGAACTTGCATTTATAATCTTTATTTCTTGACATAAAATTTTTCCTGCTGAATATTCATTCACCCATTACGTTTATTTTTAAGTCTCAGATAGAAATTTCTTAATCTCTCTGTGAAGAAACCAGCACGTCTTTTCTCCAAAGTTTGATGAACCTCAGCGAAATACAGTGATCTATAACCCTCACACTTAACTATGCCATGTCTGTCCTGTTCAGTCTGTGCCCAGAGGTCATCATATGTTAGGTGTTCCTGAGCTGACTGAGGGGATGACTTTTGAACAAATGCCTCCATCACAAAAGAAAGGCTCAAAACCCCATTTTTCTATACTTAGAATCTTGGACAGCGCCCATTTTAGCAGATGATGAGTGAGAAGTACTGTCAATTATGGATAAATTGTTTTCTCTCTTAAGGGTATTAGTCTCTGTATGCCTTGCTCAGAGGATTAAGCCAACCACAATTCCAGTGGCCAGAAATATTAGAGTTTAATCTGTAGCAGAAAAAAATTGAGAACCAGTAGCATGCCTCAGTTTATTTCATTCTAGAATTTTCCAATTAAGTCTCCACTTTTCAGGGGTCCTGTGTCTTGGGGCTGTCACCCTCTCTTGCATTTTTCAGTGGTACAGATCTTTTTCTCTGTGTTTCCTTCTCTTTTCCTGATTTCAGAGTTACCCATTCATTTCCTCAAGACTCTGACTACTATTGATTATACCCACATCTGCTCAATTCACCACAGTTGAGACAGGAAGATTAAAGGGAGATTAAATATGAAGTAAGTTCCTTGCCTTAGTTTGGAAAACAGGAATTTGTGATGAAGAAGATTCTGCCACACTTCACGATTACTTTTCCATTTATCTCCACCCTATGCTCAACACCAGCTCGGTAGGGGCAAATCTTTTTCAGATTGTTACTGTGAGAATTTGCTAGAGTTACTGGAGGTAAAGTCTGTGAAAGTTTGGGTCTCCCCTTAAAACTGCAACCCCCAAGAATTTCTCACTCTCACACTGGTCCACACTCAGCCTATAGCAGAACTTCATATTTGGCATTTAATTGAAGCTACAATTCGTGGCTCCTGTGGCTTCCATTTCAAGTGAGCAAAATTGGTTTTGATGCTCCAGATATACCTGACTCTTCGTAGGTACCTGATTCTTTAGATTCCAGGATGGCAATTTGCTGTGCAACTTCATTTTTTAGGTAGTTCCCAGAGAATTATTAATTTTCACTTACTTTAAGGATATAGCTGACAACTTTCAAGCATTTTACATGTATGGGCTCAAACCAGAAGTCCCTCCACACCTGTTTTACAAGTTTCCTCTATCCCTACTCCAAGTGCATCAGTCTTAGCAAGTGATTGTGCTGCCAAGTGTGTCCCTCTTGACTTTTCTGGGTTATAGACTTTTGCTGCCACCAGTTATCCCACTTATTTTGTTCCAAGCGTTATATAGCCAATGGGGACTCAGCTAGAGCTGAGCAAAGTCAATGTCCCCTAAGACTGTGGAGTGAACACCTGATAATGTCTGTGAATCAGGATGTGTTGAATGGGGCAGATTATGAAGACTAGGGTCTTGTTGCTGTAATTTTGATGAACTGTCAAATTTGATGAACTGTAGAATTCCCTGCATCAGGGAGGAGGGAGAAATACTCTTAGGCAGGATCTTGTGTCATTATCTTTGCAGTTTGAGAAATTACATTATAGTGTTTAGATTGGCTTGGTAAAGCATTTACATGGACTTAAAGTGAATTCTTTCATCTTTTCAAATACCATCCTTCTCACCCCTCACCAATAGCCAGTTGCTAAACATGAAGGGGAGGGTGAAAAGTATTTCAAAATGAAGAGGAATTAAACTACATATACCTTTGGGGACATTTCTCCTTTAAGTTAAATTTAAAATATTTCAAACTTCCTCCCATTATGATGAGGACTATCACCTTAAATGTGTCCTAAAATTTTTATTGAGTTGAATGAGAATGGCACAATGAGAATGGCACATTTTAAAACAACTAACAACAACAAATGCTGATGGGGATGTGGTGAAAAAGGAATTCTCCTACACTGCTGGTGGGAATGCAAACTAGTGTAACCATTATGGAAAGCTGTCTGGAGGTTTCTGAAACTGCTAAAAATTGAGCTTCCATAAGCCCCAGCAACCCCAGTCCTAGGTATTTACCCAAACGACACAAAAACACTGATTCAAAAGGACACCTACATCCCCAAGTTTATTGCTTTTCCATTTACAATGGGGAAGACATGGAATCAACTCAAGTGCCCAAAAGTAGATGACTGAATTTAAAAGATGTGGTACATATATACAATGGAATATTACTCAGCAATCAAAAAGATAAACTTAGGGCCCTCCCTGGTGGCGCAGCGGGTTAAAGCACTGCACTGAGGAGCTAAAGCCACTTCCGCATTGAGTTCGATTCCTGCCTGCCCCGGAGGTGACCACATGGTGTGGCAGACCTCTCCTGACCCACCCGCTGCTCCCCTCAGCAGTGTACTTCGTCGATCTGCCTGTTCTGCTCCCCACTCTGTCTCTGGTGAAGCCTCTCACCGCCCCGAGCCTCTAGCCTCTACCCCAGTTCTGTATGCATAAATAAATAAATCTTAAAAAAAAAAAAAAGATAAACTTAGGCCTTTTGCAGCAACATGAATGGAGCTGGAAGGGATCATGCTTTAGTGAAATAAGCCAGAAAGAAAAAGAAACATACTGGATGGTTTCACTTACAGCAGGAGTGTAGAAGCTAGGGGAAAAGGAAAAGCAATTGTAATAAAGAAAAAAAGAAAAACAATGAAGAACTATATACCAGAGACATTTTACGGGGGTGGGAAAGGTGCATAGGACTATGGTGATGGCACAGGGGTGACTTGATGGTGGGAAGTCCACAGGGATTACAACTGAGATGGAAAAAGGCACAAAATGAAGAATGATGTAAATAAATTAAAATAAATAAATGAATTTAATTTAAAATAAAAACAAAAAAATTCTTTTTTAGTTGATTGGTCTCTGCTTTTCCCTGACTTCTCTGAGACCTCAGCAAGGATGGGCTGAGAACAGCAGGAGAAATTGGAAGATACAGAAGTAAAAGATGAAGCTAGGAACATAAATGAGAGGCTGGAGAGAGAAGAGAATAGATAGGGATGGAAAGAGAAAGTTCTAGAGAAAACTGGAGAGGGGACAAAAGTGAGGACAACATTTGCTAAGGCTAGAAGTATATAGGTAGCAAGAGAGTGGAAGAGATTGGGGGGAATTCAACAAGTGATTAGTGAATGAAAGATTAAGGCTAAGAGATATAAAAAGGAATGCTGAGCAAAGGCATATACACAAAAACACATGCATTGTTTCACATATATGTATTACTACCAAAGACGGCAGGGCCCATCATGGTTGCTCATAGGTCTATTTGCAATAATTTGGAAATCATACCTTGTTTTGTTTAAGGGCACCTTTCTCTTTCATGTGAGGGCAGTCCTTTCCCGTCACCACAGCTTTGATATCTGCCACTGGCACTGCAATTTGTAAAAGAAAATTAAAGTCACTCACCATGTGAAAGCTCAGGTGTCAATAAAGAAGCAGGCCTAAGCATCAAGCCTGCTATCACAGTTGCTATTTCCAGTAACTAGTGCAAAAAAAGGAAGAATAGAAGAGTAAAAGAAAAAAGGGAAAAGAAGTGAAGTCAAATGATGTCCCAGGCCTAGAAATTCTTATTTTTTTTTTTTTTCTGGTAAAGAGCATCCCTGGGGAGATACGTTTATCAGCAGAATCTACTTCACTAAAACCAGTACCTAAAATAATAACACCCATCCATTATAATCAAGTTAAAAGTGAGGGTATTAGAAACAGCTGCACTAACAATAGTAATGTTGGCACTAGTACTAATATTAAGAATGATGTCTGTGTGTCTGGAGCAAAGTCAACTGCTTCACATATATCAGCATCTCTTGTTACAGTAGCTGCATCTAGATAGTTTGTACATTTTGGATAATGAATAACAACAACCCTATCTCAAAAAACTTATCTGAATTTAAATGGTTCTGAATTTTCACTCTAAATTCTAACTGTATTATTTCTTGAATTCTTACAATGATTCTGTGAGGCAGATTTTATTACCCCTATTTTACAAATAAAACTCAATTAAATAAAGGGAACATTTCTTCCTGATAGGAAATGTTAGTTGGTATTTATCTTGAAGATCCTGAGAATAATGCAGTTAGATAAAATGATGTTATCTCATGTCTTGCTCAGAACATCAGAAAGATAGAAGGCAGGGACAAGTTTGTGCATCTAAGACTTTTGTTAAGATTATGTGAGAAAGAAGATGGTAGAATGGCTTGGAATCTTAATGTAAAAAAAAAAAGTGAAGTCATCTGTCTCTCTCCAGTCCCACAAGGTACTGTGAAGCTAGGGTCACTTGGGATCTACAGGAACATCGCAACAGGAAGAACTCTTAAAAAATGAGTATTTTCTAGGTAATTCGAGACCTTTCGCTACCCTAGAGATGAGCAAGGCAATGACAAACTCCTTCAGTACTCTCTGCAGGCTCCTCCTGGTATCTGTCTTACCACACCTCCTTCATTTTACAGTCCTAATTCTATGTCTCTTTGGTAAATAGTAGATTGCATTAATGAGTACCACTTATGTACTCATTAAATAATATATTTATTAATAACTTAATACACTCATTAATAACTGGCTTTCATTTCCTTCTGGGAGAAAGAAACCATGTTTCTCTTCAAACTTTGAGTTAGGGGTGCCTTATGATTAGTTCTGGTCAAGGAAACAAGAATGTAAGTGGCAAGTCTCTTTTCTTTGCTGAGAAAGTGTAAAAGTCATATCCCTCAGCCTCTCTTCTCCGGTTGCAGAAACAGAAGAGGTAACATATTCCACGCAGATGGCAGAGCTATGGGCTTGCAAAGCAGTCACACCTCTGTGTTTGAGTGATTGTACGGAATGATTCTTTGCAAACCAATGCAAGTTAAGTAATGTGAGTGAGAAATTTTTGTTGTTAAAGTTGGCAAGAATTTGAGCTTCTTGGTTCCTATAGCATAGTATAGCAATGCAGCTTACATGCAGCTTACATGAGTGCCATAACCCTTTACCCTGCCCCTTTGGTTTGGCATTTTCCTGTAGGAGGGTCATACAATTCTTGAACTTCCCTTTGAAAATAACCATTGACTTCAGTACTCAAATGCATTTTTATAACCAGTAGTCAGTCCTAATTACCTTCAGAGTTCAATCTGGCTGCCTAACTATACACCAGGAATGGGTGGTTTGTATACTTTAGAAAGCTGGTTTACTAGTGAAGTGATTTTTTATTATTATAAAATTAACTTGCTTTCCCAAAATTAAAAATCTTCTCAAGCTTCAGATGGAGTCTGAGTTACAAATACCTTGTAGAAAATCTCTTGTTGTATAATATATAATATGGTCAACAAACTACAGAGAGGCACCTACAATCTACGAATAGAAAGTTAGCCTTTGGCTTTGAAAACCCATCACATGGAAAAAGAGAAGAGTAACACAAAAGTCTATTGTGGGGGTGGTCTTCAGAATCTCTAATGAGAAGGCTTCAGGAGAGAGAAGGCACTTTTCTGTCGTGCTTGTGGTAGTACATATTTTATGTTTTTTATAAGTATTATCCCCTGTCAAGGACACTAGCTGCTATATTAGTCTCAGGATTGTGGCTAAATGGAAAATACAGAATTCTAAAAATACATTGTGGCTTTTAAAGGTTGTTCTTTGCATAGTTTGTCTCTAGATGCACTGGAAATTAGACATCAGAAGGGCTAAAATGCCATTCTCTCTATCCCAGGGACAGAATCAGAGGGACCAGACTATGTATCTTAATCTACACCCTAAAGAGGCAGCAAAGGGCTCCTGATGACTTTAAAGTCAGGTCAGTATTTCTATCCAGTCTCCTAGTTTGGGGGCAACATAAAGAAGAGGCGCCCAGGGTATGAGAAGTAGGAGCATCACTACTGGGATCCTACCCTTCACTCCTTGGGCCTAGTCTCTTCAATTTTTTTTTTCCTTCAATTTGAGCGGAATTGAGGCAATAGATTCCAACACTCCTATTTTACAGCTGGCAACATTGAGGTTTAAAGAGAGGGAAAATGATACAATGTCACATAGCTAGTCGGGGATGGAACTGGGACCACTGCTTTCTCTTCCACTCTGTGCTTCCTTGCTTTGTTATGATTTCTCCCTAAATGTGGAAAGGTCAGAACACCCCCAAATCATATAGAATACAGCTCCAGATGTGGTTATCACTTCAGATACATTTAGAAAATTTCTTGATTGCTAATACACACAGTCGTTATGTGAATTAAAATACAAAAATATGGAAAAAGCAAATGATAAACGTAGTTTCTGTTTCAGCTTTCATTTCCAGAAGCCATGTTCAGATAGAAATCTGGTAAGTCAGGAATGCCCTCTTTGTATATGTTTCCATAGTAAAAGTTCCTGTGGGGAGATGTAGGGTGGAGTGGCAGGCTAACTTCAGGAAAGTACAGTCAAGACTCTGGTCTCTAACCTGGCAGCACTGAAGAGGGAATGGTTGTGTCTTAGGAATCATAGAAACTGAGCTTGAATTCTAGATTCACCTATTGGCTATTCCTCTTTGAGTTTAAGTTCTAAGAGTCTGTTTCCTAGCTTTCAGTTTGGAACTACAACACCCAGGATTGCTCTGTGAATTAACTCTTAATGTTGAAAGTAAGGTCCCTGTTAATTGTTACTGCGAAGCACTGTGAGTGGGTAAAAATCTGAGCCTTGGAATTGGATGGTTGCCTGAGATCATTGTTCTAGGATTCATGAACCATGCGACTTTGAATAGTGTCTTATTTTTCTATATCACAGGTTCCTTATCTGTCAAACAAGGGCAACGATAACTCTCTCTTCAAGTTGTCAAGAGGGTAATTCATTTAAAGCTCTTTGCACAGTGCCAGGCATAGGTAAGCCCTCAATAAATGTTATTTGCAGTTATTATTAATAATCAAAGTTAATTCCCTCTGTAGATTGAGGGACCTGAATTATTCACTGTCAGTGACCCAAATCGCTGACTTGCTCTACTGTCTCAGCTGCTCTCTTCGTCTAGTGGAACAGTCTTAATCGCCTTGTGTGAGGGGGCTGTACTTCTCCTCCCTAGTCCCTTTGATGTGGGAGCACAGAGTGCTGGCCTAGATTCTTTCAAAAGGAGGCAGTATGGTCAGAAAGCAATTGATAGGTATTTAATAGGGTGATGGGAACCTGTAAATGAGGTGGGAGGGATGTGAGATGAGGGGGGATATAAGGAGATGTGGAGCCTCTAGAGCCATATATCCTGCCAAAGAATACAAGAAGCAAGATTTCCTAAAGCTTTAGAAAAAAGAAAATTAAGGAAAGGCCTCAAACTGTATTAATCAGATTCAATTAGATTCTTTGATTCATCAATATCTCCATATTCAGCACTGATTAACTTAAGGGGTGGAAGACATTTTTCCTCTTGGTTTCATGAGAGGGCAATCATATGTGGTAAGAGGAATGGCACTTAACATTAATTAAAGGAACATCTCATTTTTCTAGTGCAATGAGGATTCTGGCTTTTAAGGACTCTAAGAGAGTCCTTTTTGCTCTAGGTAGAAGGTAGAATTGGAAATAAATGTAAACCAGGTGGCAGATATAAAGTAGAAAATTATAGTTTCCACACCCAGGGCCTTCTTATTTCAGACACATAACAGCTTTATTTTCTTTCATTACATGTGTCTATACTTTCTAGGGCACATGTGGGTAACTTAATATTAAGTTCTTAGGTGTGGGTAGTTTACTGCTTGTTTTATCTTGCAACAGATAAACTGGCTATAAGTTGCTCTTTTGAACTCCAAATTACAGGCAATCCCTGCCTCAGTGATGGTTGGACTAAGGATTTTCAGTTTGTAATGTTGCAAAAGTTTTCACTGAAAATATATTTAATGAAAACTATATTTCAAATTTTGAAGTTTGATCTTTTCCTTGGCTAAGGATTTGTGGTACATAACCGTGTGATGCTGGTCAGTGACAACAAGCCATATCTCCCAGCTGACTATACAATCACAAGACTTAACACTCTATAGTGTGCAATATTGTCAGGGTTTTGAGATAATGTGGTTTGTGTTTTTTCATCCCATCATGTCTATGAAACATCCATCTGTGTCTGAGATAGTCTACATTTTTTTTTTTCCTGTAAAGTAGGCTTTGTGTTGATGATTTCACTCAACCATAGACTCATGGAAGTATTCTCAGAACATTTAACATTGGCTCAGCTATGTTTCTGTAGGTTAGGAGAATTAAATGCATTTGACTAGTAGTAATATTTACAGCCTGCCATGGTAGCTTTATCAGGAAGTTACTCTATGGTAAGTGGAGGAAGATCTGAACTGGATTTCAAAGGCTAAAGAAGACAGTTTTGGAGTCATTGTGAGAAGGGACTGCAGCAACCCTTTCTGAGGATATCACTCTGCTACAGAAATCTGTTTGGAGACTGAAGTCAGGACCTGCCCTTACCCTTGCTAATTACATTTCCTGGCATGGGCTTTCTTAGCTCTGTACCTTCACGCAGGGTTCTGGGAATGTTGGACTATTAGAGTGGGGGAGGAGCATCAGATTTTGGGTAATTCTAGGACTATTCTTAGGCAATGCTCAGATGCTGCCTGTGTCTTGATCTTTTCTAGGAAGAAAGTAACCTATTTCAAAGCAATGAGAGATGTTAGAATGGGAGTGTGGTATATAAAACCTTTGATCAAAACTTTTTTTTTTTGCAATAGGATTTATGATCCTCAACTTTAGGTGTATTTAATTTTTAATAGTCTTTTTTTTTTTTTTTTTTGCAAAGTTAGAAGTTGGCACTATCAACTCCTTTGATTTTTATCATTTGTACTTAACTGGTGAAAGCCAAATTTGGGGATCACTATGAAGAACATCAGCCTAATTCTAGTTGGGTCCTTCTCACTTTGAATAAACATCAGAATTGTCTGGAGGGTTTGTGAAGACAGAGACTGTACCCCCTTCTCCAGAGTTTCTGATTAGGGGTTCTGAGAATTTACATCTTATTGACTTCTTAGGTGATGCTGCTGCTAGTCCTGGGACCACGTTCTGAGAACTAATATTTGAGCCTGTCCATGGTGGGTTGGGAAGGCTTTCTCACACCTGAAGGGAGGGTCCTCATTATATAAGAGGCCTGTTACCCTTCTGGCAAGGGTGTGGAGACAATGCTTCAGACTCTGCAGCCTCTGGTTTCAGATTTATCTCTGCCTGTTAACAGCACTCATTATGTGGATTGGGGAGGTAGCATGCCTATGAAAAGAAATGCTACTGATTTCTGAATTAAAAAGACACTACAAAGACCAGATAGTCCCATTTTTAAGTTGGAGGGAGAGAGAATGTTCTAGGTTATTTGCTAATATGTCAGTGTGGAGTTTGAAGTGTTAGAAATTGCTCACTTGTGTTTATTTTCACCTTTGATGGCCAAGAGCTGTAAGAAGTACAGGCAATCTGACTTCCACAGGCCACACTGTGACAGAAGGGAGGTGCTAAGTCTTTTCTGGTCTTCAGAAAAGGATAATGTACAGAATCATACTTATATTGCTTTTGCTCATTCAAGTAGTCCCCGTTTTATTAAAGCGAGAGTACATGCTTTACCCCCAAGTTTATATCTTTTAAGACTGATACCTGATCTTCTTTTTAGGCCCCTCTCCCATTCAATCCCTTATTCTAGTTCATCAGACTTGTGTTTGACAAGGATGCTTAAATCAGAGCTTACAGTAAGGTGATATGTCCTGTGGTTTTATTTAGGTTGATAGTTTTTCTGCAGGATGTTTTGTTATCAGGGACAAATGAACAAACAAATCCTGGCCTTTTTCTCAGGAGAGTCACTTACGTTTATCCTGCAAAGAATCATGGGGTACTTCTCCTTGAGGAGTTTCTTCTAAGTCTCCATAATGCAGGACCTTGTGGTTTGGAGAAAGCCGACAATACCAAAATTTGTCTGAGGAAGAAAACACAAATTTACAAGGTATGTTATTCTTTTTTTCTAAAAATATTAATATACTTATTTCTAATAATCTGTCCTGGAGAAGCAAGCAATTCATTTGATTTTAATTATTCAGAAAATAATGAATTTTAGAGCCTCGGGCAGTAATCGTTTCTTAATTTTGATATGCAATTAGCACCTGTCATATTTGGTATAACGTTAGTGACCATTGGGAAAGTTATCAGATCATCAAGTACTATGGTAATAAGCATTTTTGAGGTAGTAGTTTCAGAGAATGACTTTATCAGGACCTATAACTTCTGTGGGAATTAATCCTTATCCAGATAGGCCTAACAAAAGAAAAAAGTTTTCTTAGAAATTTCTCTGAGATTGGAAGACTACTGAGATAGTTGTGGGCCATATCTTAGTTGACACCAAACCAACCTAACTACGGAGACTAAGACACCCAAACTAATCAATGAATGAACTGTTAGGATGTTAGCTATACACATGAAGAATTGAATTCATCAGGAAATAATTTAAGCGATTCAGGCATTTCCCCATGATTCTTGTTACAATCTCCTCTCCAATTCCTACATTTGAGTTCTTTAAATAGACATGACCAGGATCTTATGATCCTTTTTAATGAATAACTCTTTATTTTATGAATAACTCTTTCAACCTGACTTCCAATTCTGCTAAAGACTGTAGGTAGGTAAGCAACTTTTCTGGATGTGTTGTAAGCAATATGTGTGGAGAAAATTGCCTTCCTAACTGCACTGCCCCCAACTCCTTGAGAGTGCCTGATACATAAAAGTTTCACAGTTAGTACCAGCTAAATTGTTAAATGAAGATCCAAGGGGACTTAGTCAAATGCTTAGGACACAAAGTCTGTTACCTGTAAATCCCACACAGTTGGCAGACATAGTGGCCATGGTTACATCACTTTATGACTGTCTACAAACATGAATTGTATTGAAACAATTCTGACTAAAAGCTCTCCATAACATTTTAGGAAACACGTTTTTATGCCTAAAATTGCTTTCACTGGAAAACCATTACTTAACTATGATTCTTTTATTAGAAAAGTGAGTTTTAAAAATGGAAGTAAAAAACCACATAATAAATAAAGAGAACACCCCAATTCGATCTACAAAAGTAGAATGGCTCTGTGATGTCTAGCTCCTTATATAAATAGGATATAAAAATTCCTAAGTACTGTCAAAATATGGTAATACATATGTTTAAAAGACTCTTAACTCTGGTGTGAAAATTTGAAAAAATTAAAATTATTTGATGGCTAGAAAAACCTCTGGAATTGCTCAATTTTCAAAATCATGTCATACACACATACACACACACACACACACACACACCAACATAGTTCATCTTTCTAGAAGAGCATTGCAAAGGGACAAAACAGTCATTTAAAAAAATATGTATAATTATCAGTTTTCCAGGAGGAGGACATATTTGGGAATTAGACTTTTAATTAAATAGGAATTATGTGCTCCAGAGGAAGAGGCCATACTTTGGTTTTCAGTGATGACTGTGGGGGCCAAAAGAATATTATATCTAAATGTCCTGTAATGACCACAAATTCGGGTGGGGAAATTAATTATACAGCTTTCCTCCTCCTGCTACTTCTGAGATGACATTTTTAGCTAAATGAGCAACTGAAAGAAAATCACATGAAAGAAAACCAGGAAAGAGTCAGTGAAATTGGCCCTTGTAACAATGGTTTTACTCTGCTCTTTGTAGGAATCCCTTGCTTCTCAGGCTGGGACAATTCTAGGGGTTGGAGGTGGTAGCCTGAAGACAAAAAGTATTGAAGATAAAGCAATCAAAGATCAATTACCCTTAATATATTTGTGGAGAATTGAGAAATTTAACTGGTACAAAATTTAGTACAAACATATATTGTGGAGAAAAATGCAAACACGTTACTTATAAGACAGTTATTTGTAAGGCTTCTGAAAAGTTTTGCTACATATACTTCAGGGCACTATGTTATTTATCTGCTGAATATTTGCAGAGTGCCTACAAGGCATACAGTACCCTAGCAGAGATAGCAAAACTCATTAGGATAAAAGGCAAACTTGAGAGACAAAGCCAGGAAAGTGCTGTTTCACTTCTTGAGTGCAACTAAGAGAAGGATGGTGCAGACACTTGTTGAGTGGGTTTGGGGAACGGACAGAGACTCAGCAACCTCAGCTGTAATTTAGGGGTATACAGGAATAGGAAGTCTTTTATGCAACAGATTTTGCATTCAGAAGCTATTAGAGAAACAGTGTCTGCTAGTCAGGGACCCAGGGAGCAAGACAGCCATCTGATAGCCAAGTTGGAGTCAATGTTTATTTAAGAGAAACACAAAAGGAAACTTGGGCTCTGTCACAATAATATCTGATGACTAGTGGACAATATTTCCTCCTTCCAGAGGCTGAGACCCCCTTGCTTTCTATGATACCACCCTACTCTGGCTTTCCTTGTACCTCTAGGTATTTGTCTTAATCCATACAAGTTTCTCCGTGTCTGCTACAAAAAGCAGTGTGTGCTGCTGACATAAATGACATGTTCTACTTCTTCCTATCACATGGGAAGCCCTGAATGGATGACACAATAATGAAAGAGGTACTGAAAAGGCTCAGGAAGGTTGTGTTGATTCATTCACACTCTGCCAGTATAGTCCTCAGGATAAAGGTGGCCAGCTTTAGGAGACTCATAATTCCTTGGGCTTGTGTGTCTTGGAGGTAGAGCCGAGAAAGGTGCTAGTTCCCAGCAGCACAGCACCCTGACTTGCTGTGCGAGCCCATTTCAGTGTCAACCAGGAACAGCTTGATTTGTAGTTTCTTTTACAGTAAGAAAAATGTGTATTTTCTTTTAAAAGCCAGCATGATGCTACTAGTTCCTCAATCCCTCAGGGCAATGAATGAGTAGATTGTTTCACTAAAAGCAATTAGCAGGAAGCAGTGAGAACATTATCAATGATTGTTTGCTAGCATTTAAAGAGAAAATAGGAGTAAATATAGAAGATTCCAGTCAATTACAAATGTTAGTATGTTAATAGCCATCTCTTTATCCCTAAGCTTAAAAACTGAGACTATGGAGTCAATTTTCTCTTTCTTCTCTTGAAGAAATGAGGGAAAACTTGGTTCCAATGATCATAATCCTGGTAAGATAGTCTTTAGGATTGATTAAAATGATTATCAATATCACAGAAATCATTAAGGAGCTGATAACCACTGACAACTATAATTCTTGCAACACTAGTAGGCAGAACTTTCTGCAGGGATGGAGATATTCTGTAACTGCTTTAGCCAATAGTAAAAGGAGCACTTTTAAATGTTATTTCATTTTAATTACCCAAAATAGTACAGGTAGCTACATCAAATAGTACGGCTCATTGCCTTTGTCATCCAGGCTAGAGACAAGACTGAACTGGCAAACAGGACTTTAGGGGAGACCGGAAAACTGAGTAATAGCTACCGTAGGTGAGTGAAGTATTAGTGTGTTCAATGAGGAAGAGAGAGGAAGAACAGGGTCCTGAGTGACACTGCTAAGGAGTCATGGGGGCATCTTATTTTGGGTACAAAGCCCATTATCAGAGGGCTCAGAAAGTCCTGTGTTTGGGAGGTGGGTGTCTTTTGATGAAGTCTAGTCTTAGGATACTTCCATTAAAATTTAATTAAGCTAAAATGTACAAATTTCAGTGTTTTCAGCAGGCCCACTTCTTTCCTAAGGTCAAACATTTCTAATTCACAAAACATGTGGGAGCCCAGCAATGTTTTTAAAGGAAAATGTCATCTAGAGGATATGCAGATTTCTCTGTTGGCCCCATAAAGACTACAGAGATGATCAAAAGATAATTACAGATCCAATGAAGGTCATTCTGCTTCTCAAGTCCCCCTCATTTCCCTGGTTGTTCTTCAGGATGAAGGCCTGGTGTTTTGATTCAGAATTCTTCCTCCCTGGAGATCACATCTCCTTTCAAAGTGTATGTAGATGCCAGAGCCTTCAAGTCCTTTTAAGGATGGCTGGCCTACACAGTGCTTTGGCATTACTTAGACTCAGTTTACGCTGTGGGCTCTGAGTCAAATTATAAAAACTGTTGGGTTCCCTGTTCTTCATTTGTTAAATAATATTAAGGATTATTGGAGAAAAAGATACATAAAGTTTCCATCATGCAACTTTCACAGAGCTGGTTCTCAATAAATATTAGCATCTTCCTATTCTCTCACTCCATGGTAGTGAGAGATCATACTACTGGTCCCTTTGCCTTTGGGAACAATGAATCTTATTTTGATTGATTGGAAAGTACCTTGTTTCTGAAAATGAACTGGCTTTCTGCCTATGAAAATGTGTTTATTTAAAACTGTATTTCTATACAAATGAGTTTTGATAGTTTAATGAAATATTTAAAAAGTTCAATCAAGAGTAGAGGAACAACACCTGTTCTCTGGAAATAGTTCATAAGGTTACTGTGACTGAACATATCCCCGAGCTCTAGGCTTTCTGCTGAGCTAAAAGAGCAGGGTCAGGTACATAGCCCTTGTGGCAGCAGTACAGAAGTATGCTGATTTCTCATGGGTCTTGATACCTTTTGTCCAATATTGAGGTCAAAATTAGGTTTGTCATGTTAGCACTTACAGAAGGGATGATAAACAATGACAAAGGCAATGTATTCAACAAGAAGCAAGTTCTTCTTGAAATGATTCTCTTATGGTCCACCCTGGGTTCTTATCAAAATCATGCACTGCAAGTGATTATGAAAGGCCCTAATCTCTAAATTATTTATTTATTTATTTATTTATTTTTTAAAGATTTATTTATTTGTACATATAGAACTGGGGTACAGGCCAGAGGCTCAGGGGCGGCAAGAGGCTTCACCAGAGACAGAGTGGGGAGCAGAACAGGCAGATCGAGGAAGTACACTGCTGAGGGGAGCAGCGGGCGGGTCAGGAGAGGTCTGCCGCGCCATGTGGTCACCTCCAGGGCAGGTGGGAATCGAACTCATGAGGAAGTGGCTTTAGCTTCTCAGTGCTGTGCTTTAACCAGCTGTGCCACCAGGGAGGGCCTAAATTATTTATTTTTAAAGATTCATTTATTTATGCATACAGAACTGGGCTACAGGTCAGAGGTGCAGGGGTGGTGAGAGTATTCACCAGAGACAGCAGTGGGTGGATGAGGAGAGGTCTGCCATGCCATGTGGATCACCTCTGGGGCGGGGATCGAACTCATGCTGAAGTGGCTTTAGCTTCTCAGTGCTGTGCTTTAACCTGCTGTGCCACAACCTCTAAATTATCATTTATTTATTTATTTATTTTTAAAGATTTATTTATTTATTCATATAGAACTGGGGCCAGAGATGCGGAGGGTGAGACGATTCACCAGAAACAGAGTGGGGAGCACAACAGGCAGATCGACGAAGTACACTGCTGAGGGGAGCAGCAGGTGGGTCAGGAGAGGTCTGCCTCGCCATGTGGAGTTCCTCCAGGGAAGGCGGGAATCGAACTCATGCGGAAATGGCTTAAGCTTCTTAGTGCAGTGTTTTAACCTGCTGCACCACCAGGGAGGGCCCCCAACCTCTAAATTATAAGGGAAGTAGGGGGCAGCTCCTGAGTCTCCCAAATCTCACAAAGCCTTAACATAATTTCTGGAATTTCAGTTTACGGCTTGGGTGCAGAAGCCTAGAGAACATGACTACAAATCCCTCACTGCATGGGGTTTTGAACAGGAGTCTAAAATACCCAGTAGTGGGTAGGGCAGGTAGAACAGAGGGATGAGGTGTGTGACACACACTCCCACTGTACTGCTTGAGTTTAAAAACCCATATTATGAGGAGCTAGTAAATTAAAATTTAATATTAATAATTAACAAATATTTGTCCCTGTGCCAACCACTCTACTAAGTGCTACAGATGCCTGACTTTCTTTAACCCTTTCAATGATCTGAAGTGAAGTCATCCCAGATAATAGAGGGGAAACAGAAGCACAAATACATCAAGTAGGATGCCCAAGCAGCTCTCAAGTGGGGAAGCCTAGATGTGAATACAGCTTGATGTATCTCACATGATTCACTGTCTCTTAGTCCTAAAGTTGTCAGAAGCCCCAGGAACCCAGATATATAAATATCTACTGCATGTTATCCAAGGAGCAGAGCAGCAAATGAGGCCAGCAGAATGATAGTCAAATAGCAACTCAGGGCCTTTGAGCCCAGTGAGGCCTGTTAAAGACACACTGTTCCTCTACTTTCCAGTTCCACAGGATGGGAAACTCATTTCCCCCTATAAAGTTAATACTAAAACTCCTCTATGTCAGGTTCAGTGTTTGAAAAGTTTAAAGCAGTGTGGTGAGTTGCTCTTTGACTTATGAGGGCTTGAGGGAGGTAGATTTCAGAGGAAAGTATACCTTTCTTAAGGGGATTAAAAGATTTACATTATGTTCTCATTAATCTGTGTAAATCTAAATGGAATGTCTTGATGGGGAAACAGCAAACCAATTTCAGCACAGTGTGTTTTGAATCCCTATTTTTAAGCAAAATGGAACGAGTCACTAGATTTTTAAATCCATTTACCAAATACCAAAAAGCTTTTCTATTTGCTCTAGGAAGGATGATTTTATATTAAACTCAAATAGTTATGCTCCCTAGGAAGTTCAACTAATAAATTTATAACCTAGATGCTAGTATTTTTTTGTTGTTGTTCCTTGAGTAATTCAGTTTTGGAAAACTGGAAAAATGTACAGGTAAGGAACTGACTTCTTTTGCAAAATGAAACAAACATTGCAATTATGAAATTTAGAAACAGGATTATTCTAGTAGAATCCATTCATTTCAGTCTAAGAAGGGAAGTCTAGTGCTAAAGTAGATGGGATGGTTAAATTGTGTTCCTGGCAGTAAGTCTGAAGGATTCTAGCTGCATATCCAGGGAAGCATTTAGTGTGATGTGTTTATTCGCCACACTTTCCCCAAAGTGCTCTTTGTCCAATATTAAGTAAATAAAAACTTTATAAATCACCTTTATGATATAATACACCCTGAATACTGATTTTTCAAAAAGCAATGAAGAGATCAGAGCATAGAGTTGGCTAGCAAAGGTCATCAAGTCCTACTTTCCCAGTTGATAGGAACCTGTGACCCCCAGAGGTCATCTAAAGACACACAGGAGATTATTCACAGACTTGGGATTCCTAGAACCAAGTCTACTCATGCTCAGCTCATTACTATTTTCTTCTATAATCTTCAAGAATAATCATGGCTAGCCTCTGTTGTTGCTTCCTAAGAGCCACATTCATAGTGGTTTTATAACATCAGTAGACAGTACTGTGATCCCAATTTTAGATGGAGTAAATGTCTGGGTTATATTTTGGGGTAGAGAATGGACTGCACCCACTTTATCTGGTTCCAGGCCTTTGTCCTAGCTACTGGGTACTGTTGTCTTAACAATGCAAGGTGGACTGGAGCTTCAATGGCTGAATGAAGAGGGAACAATGAGTTCCCTCTTGCACTTTTCTTTCTGATGTTAGCCTATCTCCTCCCCACGTTTATAGGGGAGTGGCACATAAGGGGGGAATAATAAGGGAACTCAGATCTTTATTATTATACCTCTTGTTCTCACCTGAGGTTGGTGTTGAAGCTCATGGTCATGGTTGCCTTCCCCTGTGAGCAACCTGAATTTTTATTCCTCAAGGAACTTTTGCCTTTGGAAATTCCTTAATATGCTTTTTACTGTATTCAATATTCTTCACAAAGCCATTAAAATAAAGTCCAGGGGGATGAACTCAGCACAAACATGAAATGATGTTGGTCATTAGCAAATGAGCTAGTTCTGTGTCTGAGCAGGGCATCCATCAAGTTTCAAAAATACTTGCCAGAGTTTCTCTCAGGCCATAACTGATGTTTGCTCTTGGGACTAATTCTTGTGTTTGTTTCTGGTTCTTTCTTGATTGTTCTCCCAAACCTTATTTTTCAGTTTGATTTTCTAGGACAGAATGGTATTACTGCTTTGACTTTGCAATCAAAAGCATGTCAAGACAGCAAAAAGCAATTAAGACTTTACTTTCCTATCTAACAAACTGCTGGAAATGCTTTTACCTAGTTTAAGTACTCTAATGGCATCCATTTTAACTCGTTATTTATGAATTTGAATTTATAGATATACTTCAGAAATTATTTTTCAAGATTATGAGAACTATTTATCTCTTCGAATAAAATAGTTTTGATCTGAAAATGAATCGGGATGGAGGCTGAGAGAAAAAGAGCCGTCCACACTGAAAGTTCCAGGACTAAATTCCACAGTGGGTTCCAGCTCACCTGGTAGCAGTGTGAGTCATTAAAAGTAAAGCTCACTGGGCCCTCCTTAGTGGCGCAGTGGGTTAAAGAACAACACTAAGAATCTAAAGACACTCCAGCATGAGTTCCAACCCCCTCCCCACCCCCAGGTGATCCACATGGCGAGGCAGACATCTCCTGACCCGCCCCTGCTCCCCTCAGCAGTGTACTTCCTTGATCTGCCTGTTCTGCTCCCCTGTCTCTGGTGAATCCTCTCCCTGCCCCTGCAACTCTGGCCTGTACCCCAGTGCTGTATGCATAAATAAATAAAAGTGTTTTTTTTTTTTTTAAAGTAAAGCTCACAGAGCTGCCAGTGTATAAATTATATTCTCCTGTCATTCTGGGTAAGTCACTTAACACTTCTGGCTGTTTGTTTCCTTATTTGAAAACTGGGTGTTACCACAGTAGTTACTTTATAGAATTCTTGGTGATGGTAAAATGTTATAAGAAAAATGTAAACTTTCAACACATGTGTTGTGGAAACATCACTAGCAGTTTTGTGGCAGCATATAGCCAAGAGTGTTTCTTCAGTGTTTCATGGGTCTTCTAATTCTGGACTTTTATTCTCCTAGGAATGCATGGAGAATCAATAGTTACCTGAACTGCTATTTCTGTTCTTATAATACTGTGATGTAACCTTCCACTAGCACCCATACCCAGGTGATTCCTTTGGAGTGATCACCATGCCTCCTAGCTGACTGTGGAATGGCCTCAAATAATACCTTGCCTTCGCCGGCTGTTGAGTTTCCTAAAGCAGGTCCCTTCCACGAGACGGTTCAGACGTTGCTGTTTGATCAGCTCTAAGATTTCTGGCTGAATCTTCTCCTTTAGTTCCCTGCAAAAGGATAAACACATATTCCATGGTATGCCTTGAGAACACTGCCGGTTGAAAGGGCATCAGAGAGGGGCGGGCTGCATGTTTTCATGAACATCCCAGTATCTCCCAAGTTGGTGCTTTAGAGAATCATTTATTAAATGTCGGCAGACAGGTTATCTGTTAAAATAACACTATAGATTCCCTGACATTTACAGAATACCCACAAAAGCACCAGCCAACTTCAGTGCTGTTTTTCTACACCAAAGTGCCCTAAAGGTTTCTTCTTTTATTTTACAAAACCACAGATACACTTAAGCAAAAATTCACTCAGCTCTGCTGAGGCACTAAATCTTTGGTCACATTTCCCCATCTCTACCACAGGCAAACATCTAGACTACATTTGTGATCTGACCAAACAGGAATATTGGGCAGTCACATGATTACTATTACACAATAAACACAGTGCCTTGAATTAACTATAGACTCCATTTTGCATTCAATTCTATCACTTACAAATAGGAACAATACATTGCCCCAGATTCTAGCCCAGAGAGACTAGGGTAATGAGAACATAAATTAAGGATTATTTGTATATTGTCTCAGGCTAATATAATGTAATTTCATTTTAAATGCACTGTGCTTCAAAGATAGGAGATAGTGCAATGTTATTTCTTTTTTAAGAGAATTTTTTTCCCCCACATGAAATTGTACTAGCCTGGTGTCTAGTAAAGCTAATTTTTTTTACTTAAAGTTGGACAAGGAAACCCAGACTTTAGCCCTCACAGAAGTGTTGGAAGTATTGACTATATATAGCTCTAGAATTCAGGATACTAGTATTTTCATCCAGGATATGTTCATAACTAGCATTTCATGTAGCTCATCAAAGTTCAGTTTCCTTATCTACAAATAGGCTGCCAGAGTTTCTTCCAGGCCAAAACTGATGGCTGACTGTCTCCTGGGAAAATGTTATGACTTCAAAGAAGATAATATGAGTACAAGTGCTCCATAAGGAAAGGTATTATTGAATTTGCGTTAATGATGTTCTCTCCTTTCCCCTGTCCAAATACTCCATATGCCCTCATTACACTGACCAAACTTTAATCTTAGATCTGGACGTGCTCTGCACTGGATTGTAGACAGCATGTATTCACATGTTTCCAAATGGAGACAGTACTAAAACTTGTTAAGTGTCTTCTATGAGCAGGAAAATGTATTATAAAATGTTAGCTCACTTAACATCTCCTTTCCCTCCCTCAGTCTCACCCCCTTCACAATGTGGTGGAGGATATTATTAATATCATTATTCCTATTTATAGATGGAAAAATATTTCACCAAGGTTAAGCCTCAAGTGAAGATACAAAATCAAGTTTTTCTAATGCAAACTGCTTCTATTTACCATGAGAAAAAATAAAATAAAAATTTACAGAAAAGGACCTGGACAGATGACAGAGTATTCCAGAATTCCATTAATACATTTTTAGTCTTAAATGGCCTTGAACCTTCTGTCATTTGATACTGTTCCAACTGTATAAAGCATAATAAGGAGAAATAGCCCTAATAATACAGTTTGGTGCATTTGTAAAGCTTTTCCTGTGCGGGTCCTCATTTCAGGCTTTCAGATCACTAAAACCATTTATTATCAGCACTCAGCTTTTATAAAATGGACTCAGTAAATTGCAGCTTTGATGAACCCTGCTCTGAATGGAGAAGAGGGTGGGGAATTGCCAAGAAAGTCACACAAGACAATAAATCACTGCTCCTGACTTCCAAGTTGGGGCAATGGGGTGGAGAGGAAGAGGTGGCACTGAAAAATGGAGAAATCACAGGAGAAAAAGTTTTGGAATCTCATCAATTCTTAGGTCATGTATGTAGCTTTAAATAACAGTTTTACTAGGTTAGAATTGAGTTACTAAAAATGGAGATGAAGATGCAAAGATGAGAACCAAAAGGAGCAAATAATTGAAAGCACTTTCAAGTAATTTTAATTGATGATTTATGACTTTCAGGAGCACCCAGATGTACTCCTGCTTTCTCTCTCTCTCTCTCTCTCTCTCTCTCTCTGTCACACACACACACACACACTCATTATGGAACCATCTTCTGGAAAGGACTATCAGAATAAGTGAATCTGCTGTGGTGAGAGTTACCCTTTAGTTTTATACACGCTGAAAGACTCCAAAACATGACTGAATAATATAGAACATGGGCAATTTCTTTCTTTTTAAGTGATTTCTTCTTCTTTTCTTGTCAATAAACTTAGTTGCTATAAAATTCACTGATGTAAGGAAAGAATATGTATTCCCTCAGTGATGTTTCTGTGGATGAGATCTGACTTCTGTAGTTTTGAAATTGGGTTGGCACTGGGTTTTGAAACTCTCAGTCTGATGTTAGCAAAGCAAAAGTTATGGGCTCACTGCCTTTGTTTAATAATCCTCTAATTCTACCTAAAGTCCTTGTGAATAAATAAAAGGAGGAAGATTGTATGAGGTTGGGTAAAGGAGTGTGTAAAGGGCAATTGAAAATCTAGCACCGTTTCTGGAAGATAATTTCAAATAAGGTCAAATGAGACAAGTGCCATATACAGGAGACAGCTGTTGGGACTCTTTCCTGGATGTGGGGTGTGCCCTATGGAATTGCTACATGGTGTTCATCTAGAACAAAGGTTGACAAACTTTTCCTGTAAAGGGTCAGAAAGTAAATGTTTCAGACTCTGAGGCTCACATGCTGTCTCTCACAACTGCTTGACTCTGCTATGGTAGAGTGGATATGGTCATTCACAGAACCTGTCAGATGGCTCCATGGAAACTTTGGGCTGAATGAAAATGTCAGTTACAAAGAAATCGATTGTTCAGGAGACACAACACAGGGCTTCTGAGCCCAGCCCTCAAACCTCTTCTTTACATTTATATTGAAGCCTCATGATTTTGTTTTTATTATTTTTTAAAAGATTTATTTATTTATGCATACAAGATCTGGAGTACAGGCCAGAGATGCAGGGGTTGAAAGGATTCACCAGAGATAGAGTAGGGGGCAGAACAGCCAGATGTAATGAAATACACTGCTGAGGGGAAATCGATTGTTCAGGTAGTCACAACACACAGGGGCTCTGAGCCCAGTCCTTGAACCTCTTCTTTACATTTACATTAAAGTTGCATGACTTTAAATATTAACTTTAAGCAGATAATTCTCAAATTTACATTTCCAAGCTTGGCATCTTAGCTGAAAAAGAAGTGTTCACTTGCCTCCTTCGAGTCCATTCTCAACACAGTGGCCATATAGACCATTTACAAACTTAAGTAAGATTTTATTAGTTCTCTACTCAAAATCCTCCAATGACTTCCCATCAAGATGGCTCTTAGGCACATTGCTGGCCTCATCTCCCATTATACTTTTTCTGCTTTATTTGGATACAGCCACAGTGGCCTCCTCTTACCTCAGGACCTTTGTACTGGTATTTCTCTGCTGAATACCCTCCACCAAATTCCCACAAAGCCTGCTTCCTTTATCATTTATACATCTTAACTCAAATGTTGCTATCTCAATCTACTCTGATGACTTTACTTAAAACTGGACTCTACATTTTCCTTATCCTGTTTATTTATTTATTTTTTTTAAGATTTATTTATTTATGCACACAAGAACTGGGATACAGGCCAGAAGCGCAGGGCTGAGAGAATTCACCTGAGACAGACTGAGAAACAGAACAGGTGGATTGACTGAAATACACTGCTGAGGTGAGCAGCTGTTGAGACAGGAAAGGTCTGCTGTATCAAGTGGGTCACCTCCCTGGCTGAGGATCAAACCCGTGCTGCAGTGGCTGTGGCTAGCTTCATAGTGTTGTGCTATAACCCCTTGCGCCACCAGGAAGGGTCTTTTGTTATCCTCTTTATATTTTCATAGTTTGTGTTCTCTTTTAATGTGCTGTAATATAGTTACTATGTTTACTGTCTGTTTCTCCACACTGAAATATAACCCCTATAGGACTGAGGACTGGGTCTGTTCTCTTCACTTCTGGCTTGTCTAGACTTATCACCAGTTATGTGGCAGGCACATGACAAAAAAAAATGCCAAGTACATCAAGCACTAAAATTATATAACTTATCACTGTCTTATTGACACTGTTAAGAGAAAATTATGAAAAAACTTATGCTTAATTTTTAGTGAGGTTGTGGATTTGTAGGACAGGCATTAGTTTTATTTCTGGCTTTATTTTTTTAAACCTACTTTATTGCACTTTCTGAGAAAAGAAAAAGCATACACAAAAGCATTCAAAGGTCAGTGCTGCCACTTACATATTAACCATGTGACAACTTGCTAAACTCTGGTTCTCATAAGAGGAGTTCTTACTTTGGATATCATGTGCAGGGCTTATGCTAAGTGCCTTTCATGTGCTATTTTGTTGAATCATCATAACAACCCAATGATGTATAAACTTTCATGAGCTTCTTTTTCAGATATGAGTAAAATAGGCTGAGGGTGGGTGACACCACATACCTAGAGTTATATTTGTATGTGGTGATCTTGAAATCTGATCCCAGGTCTGTTAGCTTTCTGGATCTGGGTTTTCCACATTTTCTACTCTTCTTCACTGACACCTGTCCTCATATCTCCCCTTCTCTTCAATATAGGATTGGTTTCTCTATTTTTGGATAATGTGAACTTTTTATAGCCATTAACTTGGATTAATTGTGAGGATGATTTATCTTCCCTGTTAAATCATGCTAAGCAGAAAATAACAAATATGTCCTCTCTGAAATAGTCAAGAGCTAAGAAATAAAACAGAGCTTTCTTAATTCACCAAATATATATTTCCATGAAGTATCTGTTCACATAAACTCGCTTGCAATTTTCTTCTCAAGAAACATCTTTTATGAAAATAGGACATATGCCTTCCCGATCTTTGAGGCTCAAGGTTTGTTACCTTCTGGTGGTGTGTATGGCAAGGCAAACCCAGATGCCCCAGGCAATGGGCAGGTGGCAGGGCCAGGGGGGTTCTTCACCAAACTTAGCCAAGTTTCTGTGCCTGTCCCTGTCAGCTTGAATGGATTACATTAATAGTATTTTCAGCTCAAAAGTCCTAATATTCCAACCCCCCAGCTGGGGTTGGAGGCCAGTCTGTGTGTTCTCAGATAACTACCTACTTGTGCTCCCTCCCATCAAACTGTGACCATGGTTTGATAAGCCCCCTCCATACCTTACTTCAAAGTTAGGGATTGGGGCGGGGGGTGGAGGGGCAAAAGTCTGATTCTCTGCTTGTCCCCAGTACTTCAGGCAGGGCCTGGCAGGTAGAAGTTGTTTAATCCACATTTGTTAAAAAAAATGACTGACTGAATAAAAACAACACACCTGACCTGCACCTTTTCTTTGTTGACTTGTGTATATCCTGTGAGCAGCATTTAGACCTCATTTGCCCCACAATGAATCCTGGTCTAATATATATATATTTCTTTCTTTCTTTTTTTTTTAAAGATTTATTTATTTATGCATACAGAACTAGGATACAAGCCAGAAGTGCAGGGATGGTGAGAGGATTCACCAGAGACAGAGCCGGGAGCAGAACAGGCAGACTGTTGAAGTACACTGCTGAGGGGAGCAGTGGGCGGGTCAGGAGAGGTCTGCCGCACCATGTGGTCACCTCCGGGGCAGGTGAGGGTCAAACTCATGCATAAGTGGCTTTAGCTTCTCAGTGCTGTGCTTTAAACCGCTGCACCACCAGGGAGGGCCCTAATATATATTTCTAATAGAAAACAAGCTGGAGGCTGGCACTTCCTTGCCTAGTTCAGAGGCTAGAAAAATGATGAGGCTGGTCAATGGCCCCCATTAAATGCTGTAGCTCTGGACAAGTCTATGACTTTATAGCAATGATGCCAAGAATCCCAGGGGCACAGGGTGCTGAATTTCAGTCCCATGGCTGAGAGACAGTGCCAAAGTTTCCACATATTTCAATGCTTCTCCTTACATGATGTGTGTGTGTGGGGGGTGTGTGTATAAGAACTTCTTGTGATATATATGTATATAGGTAAGAGTTTCTTGTGATAAAGGGAAAAGAAACTTCAGAATGTCAGCAACGGAGCCTTGGAAAATAAAGATATGAAACCTATGTAGGAGCAGAGTGTTCACACTTGACATGTAGCTAGCATTCTTACACGGAACAAAGTCATGGTCAAACATTAATTTAGAATCCCTTGGCTTTAACTGAAGTGTTTTTCAGGTCTCTCTTTCAATTAAAAATTGTTGTCAAAAGCACAAAAAAATCCTCTCATGTTTACAGATCTGCTGAAACAGACACTATGAAATCCAGTGTTTCAGGACTAGGGCTGGGTGATGTGCCACTGTCCTTCCCTTCAAGTGAGACACTGCATCTCTGAGGAGACAATCATTTGTCCAAAGTGCTTTTAGCTTCATATTTCTGACTGCTACATTTGGCTAAAGATCAATACAATAGCACCTCAGCATGCCTCTTGTAAGAGCTGGCTGGTTCTCAATGTTAGGTTTTACAGTGACGCCAAAGATCCTCAGGAAACACTTTCTCTCTCCTGTTGACAAACTTCACACTCACTAACATCGGTGGGAATGTAAGATAGGTTTTATATCTTGGCTATTGTCTTTGCAGACCTCTGCATTTTTTGAAACCTCATCTTAACCTTGTACCAGGCAATGGAGCCCTGTTGGTGAGGAGAAAACATTGGCTGAAGGATCATTGGGTTCGAGCTTAAGTCCCTACTCCTCTGCTTGCTAGCAAGGTTAACAGCTCTCTAGACTTTCTGGTCCTGAGTGGGAATAAGGTCTGCCAGTCTCATTATGTACACAAGGCAATAGGATAGAAGGAGCTTCTACTTTGCAGATTACGACACATTAAAAATGTCAAATATATAGGACAAGAGACAGAGAGGAGAAGGAAAAAGAATCACACACACACACACACACACACACACACACATTGATTAGATGTGTGTAGATGGCCACTATAATCATCCCTATGTTACAACTTGACTTCACAGGAAAGTTCAGAAAACAATCTTCTGAGGCAAGAATGAGAATAATTCCAACAATATTTGTAATCCACATCCTTTTCCTTATTTTCATTCATATTAAACATAAGGCTAAAAAATTTACTTATGTCTTAGGAAAAGACAGTAAAGATAAATAGGCCAGTTGTAAGAAAAAACAAAACAAACAAAACCTACACAACAAAACCCCCAGTTCTCCTGTTTAAGATTCTGTACATCTTAAAGATTGAGAAACACGAGATTATGAAACTATTGCAATTGGCATTTGGTGAAAAGTCCTATACAAGGCACCCTCCCCCACCTGTGACCTGTAGCTTGGTACTCAGCTGGTGACATGAGATGCTCCAATGTGAAGCAGAACCAGCAGGACAGAGAGCTGGTAGATCTCTGTTCCTCTCATGTTCTCCTTCTTTCACACTCATATGACTTGAATGTTCCTATTGCTTGAATTATCAGTGGGCTTCTCTCTGGACGGCCCATAGTATCTTGTCACTTGAAGGTACATATGCAGAATATAGCAGTACAAGAAAAACAATGGTTGTCCCAAGCATTAGGGCAGGATCCACACTTTTCAGCCACAACTCCAAGAGAACTCTTCAGTATTTGGGCTGCTTTCTGGTTTGGGTCCTTCTGCCAGTGCCAGTTCCCACTTCCCCCTCAGTCTAGCCCAACCCAGCCATTCTCAGATTCCCTGTTTCCCAGCAGTGACTTCATGAACTGAATCGACACCTTCTGGAATTTCCTTTGCTACTGCTGTAAAGAGTTTGCATCAATGCAGCTGTGTGACAGGGCTTCCCTCCAAAAATGGTGGGTCAGAGCCTTTGAGGAGCTAAAGGCCCAAGTGACTTACAAAATTGGGCGAGATTGGAAGTCTTCCTGGTTCATTCTCTCAGACTGACGGATTTTCAGGATCTCAGTGTAGCTTAGGTTCTGCAGTTTGCTCTTGAACTGGTCCAAGTTGCTAGGCTTGGTTGTAAGAGCTCTCATGACCTGCTCCTTCACTACCTGCATTACCTGTAAATGAAAGGAAGATCGTTATTTTCCTGGGATTTGAATTTGCTCATTCAGAAAAGCCTCTATTGTTAACTGCTCCCTAACTCACTGATCTCCTCCACTCTCAGCCCCAAGCCTGAGCATGTTGTTCCAAAAAGTAAATGATCATTAGGCACACCTTCCATGTCTTCTTGTACCATTGTCACCACAATAGATTGACTGCCTTGAAACTGGGAGGGTGGGAAAGCATGGAGTGAGAAAATGAGTTCCATTTATACCATGTATTATGTGACTGCTGTTGAAGCAAGAACAAATAATGCATACTCAAGAATGAAAGAAGCCCAAGCAATAGCTAGAGGCCTGCAGAATCATTATTTTTTCCCCCAGAAGAAAATTACTGAGACACAATGAATAATGGAATTGATTGGACCCTGTACAAATGAATGTGAACTGATGTGAATGTGAACTGATACCTACACCCACCCCTCCAAGAGTATTTTCCCCATGTAGTTAAGCCCTGAGTATTCAAACAAACAATACACCTGGAAATGTGCATGTTGAATCCTCTCTTTGAGTCAGGCACCAAAAAACCCCAGAGCCTTATTAAATTAGAAGACATCTCATTGGAAGCCTCAACTTAAAGGAAGAGTATAGTGATTTTCTGCCTCAGGACAGATCCAGTCCACAAGGAAGCAATTACCTATTGCCTCTAATAATGTGGAGTCATCTAAACTAGAATATAGGAAGCAGCAGAAAACATGAAAACATGCAGTGTCACCAATAGACTGCTGTAATCTTGCTGCTCCTTTTCTTATCTTCCACTAAAGAGAAAAACAATTGTTTCCACTGATAAGGTGTCTACTATGGACCCGATTCTCCAGAAAGCACTTTATTTGTGCTCTTTCTCCCTGTGACTAATACTCTTCCTTCTAATACCTGCTCAATCTTCAAGTCTAGATATTTTCAGTTGCTGTTCCTCCAAAGTCAGGGTTAGGGCCTCTTTATTCTCCCATTATAGGATTGTATTATAATGTCATGAATAATGTAATGTCTCTCTTGTTTGCTTTTCTTTAGTAAGAACTTGCTCAATCCATTTTGGTAGTAGCTATTGAGAAATTGTCTAATACATGACTGAAGGATTCAATTCTCAATACTGACTCTACAATAAAATTTGAAACATACCTACTTTCACTCCTAAAGGTTCTGACTTACTTGTTTGGAAATGGGTTCTGGACATTGGTCATGTTTTAGAAAGTTCCCAGATGCAGCTGGGGTTAAGAGGTATGGGTGTAATGAGGAGTATACTCATTCCAGAGAAAAGAGAGAAAGTCCATAACCATTTCCCTCAAAACTGCCCAATGTGACTTACAGATGCTGTCCAAGGTCTTGTTACTGCCTAGTCGCCCCAAGACCTGACTTTCAGTTACCTGCTATGGTATGACAGGATTAGTAGTCTTACCTGAGGCAGTCAGAAAGACGACCAGGGGACATGCCTTTTTTTGAACATGCTTAGGGCCTTCAGAAGACACCACCACTGGGGGCCAGACCGTTCTCCCTGGGCTGCTTCCTACCCAGGCAACTCTAGCTACCTTGGTGTAGGCATCTGCCGACCTGAGCAAGGTGTGGTTTAGAGAACCCACTTTAGCAAGCACAGCCAACATCTTCCCAATGCCTTGGACAGCAATCAGAGACAGTGTTCTTAGACACAGAACAGCAGCCTGTATGCCAACCCTGAGTGAATAAGCTTGCCGCTGGCAGCATCAAAGGAAAGCATGGGGAACCCAAGGGTAAGCTATTAATAGAATATGAAGGGTGATTTTTCAGATGTACCCTGAGAGCAAAGCAGATGGCACTGGAGCAGATAAAAAGAGATCTAGTGCCCAACACTGACATTCTCTTGCTTGAAAACTTCCTCTGGTTTTTAATTGCTAATAAAGAAGGAGTTGATGGCATCATGTATTGATGCTTAGAAAGTTTCAAGCATCCTGAGAATCTGCTTATAATCCAAATTGAGAGCTTGAAGTCTTGGTGGTATTCACTCCTCCCCCACTCCCCCAACAAAACAAGTCTTTATACAATGCCTGACTGAGTTTGTATACAAATGCTAACTGAATGAATTCACAATCCAAAAACAAGACCTACAGTACTAATATCTACCATGCTCTTTGTGAGAAAGCATTTTAATTTAAGGTTTAAGGCATTTTTACAGTCAGTAAATAAATAAATACATATATATAAATAAGCCTTTCAACCAGAAACTCATCTTAAAATCAATCAGTGCTGGGTTTGTTGAAGAACAATGGATATGATACAACATCCTTTTTCATTTCTTCAGCATACACAGGAAACAAGCTCAAAATTAGGGACAGAAAAAGTGAAGCATGGGATCGCTGCCTTCTTTTGCAGCCTGCCCAGGAGGGGAGAGAGATCAAGAAGCAAACGGTGTGACCCAGCTACTGATTCCCACTGAAAGACGAAGCCAAATTAATACAGCAATCAGGCTAGATTTGCTGGTTTACTAATTGGAGGTCTTGGATGACAACAGGAAACTATTTTCACCAGTGTCTGATGGAGTCAGCCCCAGGCAAGCAAAGTCCTCATCCTTGCAAATCACATTAGTGGGTGGCATTTAATCCACAGCTTTGAATAAACAATGTGTCAGTCAAAACATGACTGTGTGGTGAGAAAAGGAGAAACAAATTGGGATGGTTTTTTCACAAAGAAGGTTAACAAGTCTTTCCAACAAGGCCTGGGGAAAGTGGCTACAAATTTTTAAGAATGATGGTACCATTGGTTTCAAATGCCTGTTTACCAAATTTAGTTATACTTTGTCTATCATGGATGTTGGAAGCAAAGACCTTCGGAAATCTGAAAGTTAACAGAGAATGATCTTCCCAGTGGGCAAGTCTGGCAAGTAAACCAGTGTTTACTTAGGTATCTGTCTCTTATAGTTACAGCTGCCTGACCATGGTGAGGTTGGGAGGCAAGGGGGATGGATAAACTCCCCTGGAAGTTCCCCATGAGCAAGGGGGGGATTTCACTGAAGAAGTGACTGAATCTGAAGGAGTATTAATTTTTAACTTACACGATCCTGATGCCAAAATATGGATGCTAATGATGCGTTCCTTCTGAATATCTTTATAAATGGATAAATGATATGTACAGATATCCCTTCAAATATCATAGGCTGTTTACAAAACATCTGAGATGTACTAATTGCTGCTTCTTTACTCTATCATTGGCATGTGTGAAAAAAGTAGTGAATGGTAGTCTGCTCATATGTTGGCCTCTCCCAGTGTGACTGTGATGCTGAAATTTTACCTAATTCATCTCTATCTGCATAACATCTAATATCAGTTTCATAAATATTTGGAGAAGAAGAGTATCAGTGGGTACAATCAGCCTGAAACTACCTAAAATTAGCTGTCATTAAGAAATAAATGAAATGTCTATTGTTTCACAAGGAGGGTGAAATCTGAAGCCCTGCACATTTAGTTCTTACAGCATGTTTTGCATAAACTGATAAATAGTGATAAATGCAGCAGGATAGTTTGCCCCTCTGGAAGGGGTGTTTAATGAAGTTTTTGTAAGCAGACTGCTCAGGCAAGACTACAGTGGGAAGGATTGGGGGAAGCAAATCTTGGCTCCACCAAACTGTCCTGCCATTAGGCACAATTGCTGAACTCTTAGGAACTGGGAATCACTACACAGCAGGTCACTCTGGAAGGACACGGCTACCAAAGCAAAACTATTTGTGGATACTCCTCCAGACACATCAGGTAGAAGAGATAGGCACACAGGGGAACTAACAATTTAGCAGGATCCAGTGGTTTCAACTTTTTCATATATATGTAAGGAAAGACTGTTCCTAAACTTTCACTAAATACTTTTCCTGTATTAGTACTAATCAAACTAACCATCACATGTTAAGTGGGCCACATTTGTTGAGAAATTTAACACCATGGTATGTAATTTCCAAATAAATTCAGCTGTACATTAACAGAATATCTTAAGAGTAAATGTGTTTGAATTTTTAAAATTTGATCTAATAAGCTGTCTAATAAGCTTTAGATGCATATATCCAGTTCTTTATTTATTCAGTTAACATTTATCAACATTGACTATGTCCTGATGAGCAGATAAGGTGCTGGAAACAAATCCAGTACCCATTCCTTCAAAATTCAACGGCAGTTGGGGGAGAATGCTGTGCAAACAGTTAACAGTGGACCTCCCAGTAAGTGCTTTATTGGTATGAGCTATCAATATAATTTCAGGGCAGGAGAAATGACTTCAAAATTAAGCACACCACTGATGTTTGGGCACACAAATATATTTCTATTCTTGTCCTACTCCTTCAACAATTGTGCTTCTTCAAAATGTACTGAAATTGTGTATTTCCTATCTTTCTCCCACTAGAACTTTGAGCCATTTAAAGGAAGAGGTTATACCTCATTTATCATTTTAGCACTAGTGGATTTTAAAATTCCTCTTACCTGGAAAATTTCCCCTTCAGCTCAGTAAACCGAAGGTCAACCAGACTGTATTTCTGATCTATGTGTTTAAAAGAATGATTTCTGGAGAGTCTTTGTGAAGGTCGGGGATGAATCCCTGTGATAGTTTTAAGCAGAGGGAAAGAGAGGGTTTATGACCACAGCATTGATAGATTAACTCTGGTTAACGCACAGCTATACCAATGTCTGGCTGTATTTCACCCAGATGGTTGTAAATTGGGACACCTCATAAATCCTTAGGTTTTCTCTTTTCTATGGCCGGTTATTATAGTGTCCTAAGGCAGAAGAGCACTTTCCAAACTGAAGTAATTATCAGTCATTTATTATCCTGAATGGAGAATCTGTTCACCACACAACACAAAACCCAGACAATTAAAATAGCTCAGGGAGTTCTGATTCTGCAAAATCCTGACAGTCACTTGGTTTGGAGTGAATGAACCCAAGGAACATCCGAAATGGTTCTTGTGTTTCTCCATTCAATACCTTTCATTTCTGCCCATTAGCTATACC